GTGTCTGTTGGCGATATTTTCATCTGTAAGCGCTCATTGTTTTTCTTCGTCGTTTTGTTGTTTGCTAACTTTTTTGGCAGGTATAATTTAATTGAGTGTCGGCTTTAATTCTACCGGCTTACTTACCTAATATAATTTTTTTCTGATTATAGTTTTTTAAATTGACTAAATTTTTTTCGTTCTATTACCCCGGTCCTACTAAATGCAGGACTAACCGTGGAGGAGGGGAACCTCATGCAGTTTGCCGTATCCGGTCCCACTTTTCGGAGGCGGCTGACACAGGGACCCCTCCAAATGTGACCGAAATGGGATTGCCTTATGACAGTCAAAGCGGACCAAAAAACTGAAAAGCACATTTTTTGCGAATTATTGCTAGTTTTATTTTTAATTTTCTTGAGTTTTTTTTGCTTCTGTGGCATTCTGCCGGCTTACTTTCTAAAAGTTTTTGCATATTATAATGAACTTTGATAAAACTTTAGTTCATAGCCGTTTTTTGGTCTCGAAAACTAAATAACTTTGTTATTTTGATAGTAAATTGTTCAAAATTATTAAAAACAATTTTATAGGCACATTTACTTGGTTGATATCGTGTCGGCTTATTTTAAGCCACCCAATTGTTAAAAGATTGGGTTAACTTACGGCAAGCTAATTATTATAACTTAGGAGATTTGCCCACTTTATTGCGAATTTTCCAGTTCTAAAAATAGGACGAATGCAGCATTTGTTTGTGAACGTTTTTGGCGATCAGTTTTGGAGTTTAAAAATATGTGTGTAAGTTTGTTTGTTTTCCACTCCGGCGGAATCAATTTTCTCACATGTACGTACTTGAAAGTTCAGCCACATAAATTTACTTAGCTGCTGTAGGTAGAGTATTGATCTTGCTTTATCACTCATGCGATCAGCAATGGTGTTGCAACCGGGTACTGGACTTTGTTTCCTTTAAATAACTTTGTTCACACAATTCATACTTGAAAATAATACACGTGTTGAACTTGCTTTGATATAAATTCAAATTCAAGGAGCATTCTATGCATTTGGCGCAGTGGTAATACCCATGCTTGAGATGAGGATTTCCAGTGGGTCCATTTCAGTCGGTGTCTGTTTTTATTGCTAAATGAAACTTTTTGGGCTATTGACTATTGTCTGTTTGCTTATTTTTGTCGGCTTAGTACCTGCAGAAAGGACTTTTCTGACGGAAGGGTCAGCGCAAATCAACACAAGGCAGTGCAAAATAAGGGAAGCCAGGACATCGCAAGTCAGGGCAGCTCTAAGAGAAGCCGGGCAAAACAAGCAGAGGCAGGGCAGCTCAAGACAAGGAGCTGCGGCGTAGGGCAAGCAAGACAGTGCAGCGCAAAACAAGGCAGTGTAGATCAAAGCAGGGCAGCGCAAGGCAAGGCAAGGCAGCGCAGCCTATAGCAACAAAGGGCCGCTCAAAGCGCAGTGCAAATCAACACAAAGGCAGTACAAATCAAGGGAAGGCAGGGAAGTGTAAGGAGAGGCAGACAATGGCAGGGTAAGGCAGAGCAGCGCATGCCCTGTCAGTACAAGACAAGGCTTGGAGAAGCATGGTAGTACAGCGCATAGCATGACAAGGCATCGAAAAGCAGGGTAATAAGATGTCTGTACTCGATTTTGCTGCAATCCAAGCGTTGATCATTTATATGCGATTGGTGAAAATACTGACAACGCAACGAGGTGAAATAACGAGGAGTGGGATTTGCTTTTTTAATTCACAAGGTGTTTTTTGGCGTTTTTTTTAAAACGTTATATAATTCAACCAAACCTAAAAGCTTTGCAGATGCTTCTTGCTGTAATAAGTTTTCAGATGCTTCTTGCAGTCTTCAGTTTTTTGTCAAAATTTTTTTTCTATTTCTCAAATTTTTGTCAAAATTAAGAAAAAATTTCAAAGCTTAATTTTTATTTCAGACTTGTACTCGTACTTGCATGCTAATGCAGGTGCAATTTAAACATGAAGTTTTCGTGTACCGATTTGTGCAATGATGAAATAAAACCAGCTAGTTAGCTTGCTCAAAAACAGTTTTGTGAACCAATTCACCCCATGAAATTACTTCTCAAAAATCCTAGGTTTTTACTTGAATAACTTGCTAAGAAACATTTGAAGATTTGGTAAACCGGTTCACGCTAAATGTTAGATTTAAAAAGTTTGGAGATCCTTGCTTGGCTTAAAAATCATAAATTTTTGTGATACGATTCACACAGTAATTTAAATTTAAATGTATTAGAAGCTTGAATGGTTGTCTTAGAAAAATCTAATTGTCTGTCAATGGACTCCTGGTATGGATTTTTTTCAAAAGCTTACAGTTTCCCTGATTGCTGAGACAAAAAGGAATTTTTATGTGACGATTCGGTTACGATTACTGCAAATTGACAAATTATTACACTTTCATGCAATACAAAGTAATTTTTAAGCACTTAGGGTTTTAAAATTTCAGCCCTTGATTGGCTTTTCATATAATTGATTGGCCGGGGCGTTTTTTTCTTAAATGTCTCCAAATTGGGCGGCGCGATTCATTTATTTTCCTGATTATCTCAAAATAACTTACATTTGCGAACTGTTTCGTTCTTGAAAAACTTTTCAACTTTTTCAACGTGTCATCACTTCAATAGACTGCCTCAAAAAATCCAAACTTTTTTCAAACCGATTTTTTTATTGCTTGCTTAGAAACACGTCTTGGAAGCTGAATCAGGCTGTGGTACATCTTTAAATTATGCGATGTGTTGTTGCTTAATTAGCTTGCTAAACAACTTGAACATTTCGTGAACCCTTCACCTTATAGCACAGTTTCAAAAAATCGACGATCTCACTAAAATAGCTCACCTTAAAGATTTTGATTTTGGCGAACGATTTACGCAAAATATTGTTGAATAACGGCTTAGTTTTTTGCAATCCGATTTATGCTATACGTTTTTTTTCCGACTCATGCTAACTTGACGTTTGTGCGATCTGATTCATGCTATAATTTAAGTTCAAAAATTTTGAAGGTCATCCCTTGAATAGCTTGCATAAAATGTCATCAGTTTCGCGAACCATTTCACGCTCAATAGCAACTTCAAACTTTTCAAAAATTGTTTTGCTTCGAAAATATTTTTCTTGTCAATCGAGTCCTATTATGGAATATTATAAAAAAAAAACTCAAAGTTTCCACGCTTGCTGAGAATCTTCAACTTGATGAGAATCGTTTCTTTATGAAATCCCTTGTCCTAAACTTCAGTAAATTTTTCAAACAGCTCAAAGCATGGATAGCTTGCCAAGAAATTCTAAATTTTGTGTGCGATTCATGGAATTAAATAATTAGAAAGTTTTCAAAGTTTTATTGCTTGAATAGCATTCTTAAAAAACTCGATTTTTTAGCAAACCAATTCAGTCAATCTATTACCTGAAAAGTTTCGAAAATCATCGCTTGCATAGCGTACCTTGAAAAACACCAACTTTTGCGTTTGCGATACGAGTCACGCTATGAAAGATCTCTATTCAAGCTATAATCAAGTTGTATAAAAAACTAAAAGTTTTGCTCATTGGTTAATAACGGCATAATACAAATGTATTTTTTTTTCTTTGAAAATCATCGCTTGAATGGTTTGCTTAGAAAAACTAACTTTTGATCAATCGATTCATGGTATGAAATACCGCGAAAACTTCAAATTTTGCATAAATTCAGAATGCATAAATGTTTAGAAAAATTTTTGACTTTTTTCAAACCAATTCGTGGTATGAATTAGCCTTACAAACTTTCACTTGTTTTATCACTTGCGTGGCTTGTCTAGAAAGTATATCTAAACTTTTGCAAATGATTCACGATACAGAATAACTTGAATTTACCCAAAGTTTCAATACTTGAAAGTTTTGCTGAGCGCAAATAACTTTTTACGAGCTGATAGATAAATGGAGATGGGCTTTTTAATTGTCTGTCTGCTTTTTTTTGTCGGCTTAAATTTTAAAAGTTCAGATTTGTCTAGAATTCCGAAAGCTCCTTCTCTAGTTTTTATGGTTCAGGTAATTTTGTTCCGAATGTTTTGGGAAGTTTATGCAATTTTTATAAATTGATTTGGTTAAAACAATTTTTTGAAGGTTTTTAAATTTTTTTTCTTATTTTTTATCACTCTCATTATTTTTTGCATCGCAATTCTTTTTGTATCGCAATCCAACTATTCTGAAAGCTTTAAACTATGTAAAACGCGTTTAGCTGATACTCAAAACTAATTTTCGATACTCGCTTCCCACAACAGGCATTCAGTATTATTTAAACGAAATTATTTGAATATCTGGTATGTTTTCAGCTTCGATGTTAAACTATAACAAGACTAGCTTTAGCTATTTTAAATTCTTTGTTGGACAGAAACGCAAGATTTAGCATTTCTGAAAAGTAATTTTCATGTTGCTTTATTTTTATTATCAAATTTTAGTCATATAATTTTCAAATACTCGATTTAAAACAGTCTATGACAAATAGTTTTATCGCAATGACCCAGGTAATCTAGGAAATAGCAAAATTTGAAACCTTAGAAAACAAAATTTGGCAACTAGAAATTGGACAAATAGGTGTCAAACTGTTGTCTTAACTGAGATGAAAAAAAAAACTGACGACAAAACGCCTTTATTCTAAATTATTTTTCATAAAACAGCGGCATACTTCAATACACTATGGTAACATAAATGTATGATGATTTTCATTTTGGTATTAAAAACGGTTCGGTTCCTGGTTGACTTTAAATTGCACCCTTGAAAAACACATTTGCTTGGTTCAAAAGTTGTTCAGTGCAATTAAATCTGGTGTCATTTACCATCTCAGTTTAATAATACACGTTAAGATAGATGGCCCTTATTTTACATGGTTAAAGTTGATGTAAAGTTTTTTTTTCACTTTTAAATGGGGATTTTTCGACGCAGGTTGAAATAAAGGAGCACTTAAGGATCTTCACGTACATATGTCGAATGCGTGTTTTTGTTTGCTGCTATCATTGTTCCCGATTAACTATCATTGATCAGTTATCGTCTCAAAAAAGAAATAAACTTTTCTTTGCCTTTATTTAACTGAAATAAAAAACAATCTGAGGCGATTTTTTTTCTCGACCAGAGAAGATGAGAAATATCATCTTCTGGTAAGTAATGAACATATTTTGTCTCTTATATGAAATTTACAGGCAATGCTGCTGAGTTACAAAACTTCCGGATCCTTTTCATTTAAATCAAAAATTTTAAAAAATATATCGGTGAATGTACAAAAATGGAGAAGAGTAGTCAAAAGTTAGTATAAGAAGAGTATAAAGCAAGGTCGGGTTAACCAAGTATTGTGCAAATAACCCATGGGCGTTTTTGCTGATGCTGTACATAGCTTTTATTTAGACTTTTTTTGTAGGTTTTGTTGAAAAATTTACAATGTGGCAAACGCTATCTAGGATTTCGCTCTGATAATTAAAACCAATGGGTGTCTACCAAAAATACTTTCGTTGAGTATTGAAAAAGGGGCCTTCTGTCTGTCGAAGAAGAAACTAATATCCAACAGAAGAGAGACATGCGTTCTCCGTTCCTCATAAACCGTCGTTTTATTATAATTGACGAATTAAAAAGTAGGCTGTTTTTTCTTTAATTTTGACCATTTCTCGTTGTTGTCGGCTCCTGCTAACTACATATCTTTCTGTGTTGCAATTTATTCAAGTAATTTAAAACTCCTTTTCGCTTCTGTACGAAGCACAAATAACACTATTTTTTTTCTACAGTGCGTGGCTCGCTATAGCACTGTTCGCAGTGTGTAGTGATGCCTCTTCGGGTGGTAACTCCTCAGCCTCCGATCCCGCAGCTAGTGATTCCCACTACTGTCTGTTCATCCAGCTGGCATGCAATTCGACAGATAAGATTGCCGTACTGCAGCAAGATGGATACAGCTTGGTGCAGAGCAAGACTGACAACATCACTTGCTTCTTAGAAAAGTGAGTAGAAAACATCTTCTCTCACCCAATGAAGCTCATTTAAAAAATGAAAAAAATGAAAATTTAAAAATTTTTCAAGAAAAAAAAATTGTTGGAATCAGTTTAAATTTTTCCGAAACTATTTAAACTTTTTTAAGCTATCTTAGTTTTTTTGAAGTCTGTTTTATCGCAGTTTTTTGCTAACCTTTTTTTTACTTCAAGAGTCTCACCGTAAAATATTTGAAGTGCTGTTTCCTAATCTTTATCATTCTAGCCTCTCAGCCCCCCTTTCCCATCCTAGAAATATTTTTAAAAATTTAGCACAACCGGCAGTTTTGTATTGTTATTTGTTGGTGTGCTAAAGTTTGTTGGATGGGTGCTATGATGGAAAATGTCCGTTTGTATGCAGAAAGGTCGAATGTCTTAAAATTTTCTACGAATGAAAATCATACAAATCGTCGAACACTCTTTCTGGAAAAAATTGCTTGATTTGTTCCTTTTTGTGTTTTCATTTCAATTTTGCTTTCTGATCGTATTCTTGAACAAACTTGACTTCGATTTCAATATGCAGTCTTTTAAGTTCATCAGTCATGAGCTTTTATTGTATCTAAAACGTATCAGTTTCAACAAAACGCCCTCAGTGTTACCTCATGCGATGTTTTTTAAGCAAAATGCTGTTTGTTGAAATTGTGAAATTGAAAAGTTGTCGAAATGAAATTGCAGGAGCTTGGAAATTAAAAGTCAGTAAGCGCCCATTTGAAATCAGTTTTACGTTTGTTGAAATTTATGTCAATTTTTAAAAAATGGTCAAGAAATTTTAACATGAAAGCAAAATGGTGCATTATCAAGTTTCATAGAAGTTTTGAACCCTAAAATTATTAGGTCTCTGAAATCATGATTTTAATGGGCAATATTTTGTAAACTAGGTATTCAGTATCTCGTAAATAGTGTCTAAAATCTAAGCATTGAATCTCAACTTGTTATCCTCTCTCCCGTAAAACCAGCTCTGTTTTGAATCGGTCTCGAACCAATTTTTTCAGGCCCACAACTGAAGGTCTTCTATCTGGAGACAACGTTCAATGCTGTGAAGGATACGTGGGTGCAGACTGCTCATTAACCGAGGACAGTATGTCAGGTATAAGTTATTTAAATTCGTTATTTAATTTTTTAACTAAGAATTTTTCCCCAGTATAAGTTTTTAGCAAACAATAACACAAAACTTTCAGCTATTTACCCAAATTAGCTTAAATTAAAAAAAACAATCATGGAGAGGATACCCAAAGGCATACATGATACATATTATTATGATACATACTATCGCCATCTTACTTTTCCTTGAGATGAAGTTTTAATTTGAGATGAGCCATCTTACTCTTCACTGAAAGAGGATTCAAATAAATGAGTAAATGATCAATGCTGACCGTTTCCACTGGATTTATGATTTGAGAAAAGATAATATTGATACTTTGTCAGCTCTTTAATTGTTTTTGATGTATTTTCAGCATCTGGAACGTACGTGAAGGAAAATTTCATGAAGAAATTGGATCAACTCACGGACGAATGTGGGACAAATGGTGAGTTGGGATGTATATATTTTTTTGTCACCAGGCATTCAAAAAGATCAAAAAAAATTTCTAAAATATGATATTCAAAAATATTCAATAAATTTTATGATTGATTACAAGCTTCCCAGATTATGATTTGGTTGCTCATGAGAAGAACTTAAAAGATCATAAGATCATTTCTTAGCATATCAAGGCAGTGGCGTATTTGGGAGTTTTTAATAGCTAAGCAAACTTGGTTCGTCAAAACCTAATTTGTCCCAAGAGTATTGTTATCGCTTTTCGCTATCGCCAATTTTTAAAAATCAATGTTTTGTGTTTCTCAAGGTACCGCTTATTCGCGGTATAGTTCGCAAGTTTCCTTATAGAATGTCCAGAGATTTGCGTTTATTGTCCCGAAAAATTATTTTATTTTTTTTATTTAATTATTTAATAATAATCATATCATATCATATCATGTCATAATCAGACAAAATCATATGAGCCGATCAGAACGCAGAATTCAAAAGTTTGAAAAAAGAGTGTTCGATCATTTAGTGTTTTGAGAAGTTCAAAAGTTTTTTTTTCACCATTGGTACTCCATGTCATGAAATGAAAGTTGGTTAATAGTTATTTTATTTTCAAGCTAGCAACTTATAACCAAACATTACATGAAATTGTATGCTGACAATTTAGTTCGACTTGGGATAATATCAAAATAGCATCAAACTGTCGGGTGGCATCTCCATGAGCGAAATCTTTTCGCCTCTTTGATTAATTAAGAACATATAGACAGAACCCAAGAAAGAACCATAAAAATTGCTGCCAAAATCTGAAAATCAACGCAAAATTCACGCTTCTAGGTGTAGTTTAAAATATTAAAATAAGATGACAAAAAACATTGTCGTTGTTAGGCTTAATATAAAAATAAGATGACAAAAAACATTGTCGTTTATAGGCTTAATATAAAAATAAGATGACAAAAAACATTGTGGTTGTTAGGCATGCAGCCAGTGGACCCGAATAGAGTAATGGCCACGTGTATTGCAATGGGCAGCCACGCAATCCGTACCTTCGACAACCACTACTACTACTTCATGCCCAACTGTCGCTACTATCTCACCAAGGCCAAGGACGACAGCTTCCACGTCCTCCTAGACTACCTGAGCTGCAAGAACGGAACTGACACTCAATGCAAGAAAAAGGTACACTCATAGGCGATCATCTTTTTTTTTCATAGAGTGAGAATATTTTTTTGTAGAAAAGTTCAGAAATCAATACATAGCAAAAAATATTATATACCACATATCGTGACTGAAAACATAAAGCATAAAAAATAGAGCCAGTGATTTCTATGGTTGTTTTTGAAGTTGTTTTCATTAGATGATTGGGTCTAAACACGAATACTTCTTCTTTGACGAAGCTCTATACTTGAAAAAAGTTTACATCTTACCCCACAAGATTATGAACTATGGTGAAAGGAGTTAAAACAGAGAAAGGCAGCGGCTACTGCTCTTGATTTTGACAGTCATCTGTTAAATGGTTGTTAGTTTTGATTTAGTTGTGCTAAAGTTTTTGGCTATCAAATCCTATGTCACTATTTAGTCATTTTTTTTGCGTTGCTTGAAAGTTTGTTTTGGATAGAGGATGCTCAAACCACAAGAATGAGTCCAAAAAAGAACGATATTTGATTTAAATAACTGACAATTCTGAAAAACAAACGAAAAACCCCAAAATTTAACATTTAATTTCTGGCTTTTTGTTATAATGACTCATTCAGAAAAAATATTCCCCCTAAAGTGAATGGCATAGTCTAATTAATAATATAGTTCTCGAGGGTCTATATTTCTAAAAATAATAATAGTGCACCATTATTTAAATACTACCGGCTAATTTGAGGTTGCGAATTTGTCCTAAAAAGATGATCTTCTAAATCCCTTTAGTTTTCTAGCAATCGTAGTTTTTTAATGCTTGCGATAAGCAAGCGTAATCAAATCGGAATATGGAGTTTTTTTGGGTTAACAACTTGTTTAACATAATCACTTGGCATCTTGGTTCATAATGAATTTATAGTTTTAAGCTTCTACGGCACACTTAGTTTGAAGGCATCGCCACGCTTGGGACGGCGAAGGTCCTGAGTTCGAATCTGACCAATAGATTTTACCGTTTCAAAAAAATTGTCGGCTCATTATTTGTCTGCTTATGTTTCGTTGGCTTAGTTACCGCATCTTAGATTTTTTCTCTGTATGCAGTTTTTTTTGTTGCTTTTTAAGTTCTCATTTTTTCCTGCAATTTGTAATTCTACCAGCCTTGACTTCGTATATTTTCCTTTTTGATTTTTTTATCGCTTAAAAAATTTTTATTGGCCTACTCACTTTCTTTTTGGGTAGTTCGAGGGAATCTTTTGAGTAGTTCAAGGGAACTTGTATGCTTTTCCCCAGATTGCACAAAAGGTTGAAAATCTCAGAATAGAAATTATAGTTCAAAGTTTTTCATGACAAAAGTTTTTTTCGCTCAAAAATTGTATTCGAATTTTCATTAAGCGCCGTCGAATTTTTTCTGGACGTGTTTTCCGCAAATAGAGCATCATTTCAGATAACATTTTGAAATTTTTTTAATTATGGTTTCTTCGAAAATGTTTCGATTTTCTTTGGACATAGTGGCTCTCTTTTTCTCCTGTCTGCTTCCTTGCAATGCTGTTGTTGTGCTATCGCAAGTGATGCGAAGCTTCCATTCGCCCCTGTGTTGCAAGTTTGCTCTTTTTCCAAAAAAAAACCTGAAACAAATTACCAAACAAAATCGGTAGAACCGATTTGTTAGTGCCTAATAATTTTTTAAGTTGAGATTTCTGTATAACCTAAAAATTAGAGTTGCTGAGAAATCGAGATTTGTTTGAAAGCTGAAAAAAATATATATTTTGTTTAAATTTTGAAAGATTATGATCCAGTTTTTTTCAAATTAATGTCATTTTATCATAAATTGTTCTTGAAAGTCAAGAGCTTTAAGGACATAATTTTTTTTCGAAATCTTCCAAAAAAAAATTCGGTAGTTTTTTCGGTTAACCAATTGTTTGATATTTTTCGAACTTCTGTTGGCTTTGTCTTAAATGTTAACGAACGAAGTTATTTAACACGTATAAATATTGTGTTATCTTTTGTTGTTTTTTCAGGAAAAGTTTTAGGATTTTGCAGTATGATTTTTGATTTCATTTTGAATTCAGTTGAAAAAATAAATTAATTTGGTTAAAAGAAGGCAAAATACGCTATCTAAACACCAATTTTAAATGGCGCAAAAAAATGAATGATTTCAAAAGTCAAAAAAGTTTTTTTATGGATTTTTCACCAGAAAATAAAAATTACTCATTAATCCAGTTTCTCTAATTCGGTTAGTTCTATGAAAAAATGACAAAAATTAAAGATTTTTAAAATTCAAAGTCCTTTAACTTGATATATTTTTTCGAATTTCGTTTGTTGAAAAAAGTTGAAATATCGTTTTTAAGGCTCCTGATAGTTTTCAAATTGTGTGTTGGCTTTGTTGTATATAAATGACAATGACTTATTCAATGCTCGAAGTGTATATGCGGGTATATTGAATTTCGTACTGATTGTTGTTAATGAATATAAAAAATTTGTGAAAGACTAGAATCTCAGTGGATGTGAACTATGTCATTCGTCTATCCTTTCCTCAATCATTGTGGTTATTCGATTAATTTTTGATGATGTTGCTTAAGTCTTAACTTTGGAGAAATTTATTTAGTGTCTTTGTAGAGGAATATAATGATAAAAGCCATGAATTTTCATTGCCCTTGCGATAAGTAGTAGGTGCATGTTAGGTATGGGCCTTGTGTGCCTGTTATGAGTTCCTTTAATAGTATTTACGAGTGTCGGCTTTAATTCCGTCGGCTTATTTTCCGAATGATTTTTTTTTCAATTAATTCTTGTTTTTTTTTTGTAAGATTGGTTGAAGTCGTCTTGCAATGTATTGGAAAAATCTAAATCAATTTGCTAGACCTTTTTTAATTGAAGTAGAAAATTAAAACATGAAAAAAATTTCAATTTTTTTTGCAAATTTAAAAAAAAAATTTTAGTTTTATTTTTTGTTCTTTTTTCAGTTTGCACAATCAATTTGGTTTAAACACTTGATGGCTTTCATTGTTCAATCAGCTGTTTTTTCACTATTTTTTATTCTGGTGTAAGTGATTGAATTTATGAGTTTTCAAATTTTTTTCGTTTATTTTTCTGAAGTTTTTTTACGACAATTGAAAATATATGTTCATCGCTTTATAGTCCACATTGTTCTGAAGTTTAGCTATTTCAATTGAAAAACGATAAGCAAACAAGCCTGAATTGCCAGTAGTTGAAAATGCAAGTGTTATTCATTCTAGTCTCAGGTGGGACTTACAACTGCAAAGATGTTTTATGAAATCATATTCTTCCTGCTGAACTTGTGCCTGCTCAAAGATTTTCGGCTTAATTTTCTCTTCGTTTTTTCTCTTCGATGTGTGTCCAATCGCAAATGGCGCGAAGCTCAGCTTCGCCTCTGTGTAGAAATACTTATTTTTAATGAGTTTTGTGCATCTTCCTTTCAAATAAAAAAAGCGACCCGAGCATTACTTTTCGCTTCTGCTTGAATGGAACTTAATAATATATTTTTTATGCTTTGGAAAATACTTAACGTCAAGTTCGAATAACATTTTTTTTGAAAGATCTCTACAGTTTGAGTCTACTGTGTTTTAAAGTTTCTCAAAATATTTAGAGAAGGAACAATTTTGTCTTATTCAAATCTTTATATTCCTTTTTCACTTTCAGATAGTGAAACAAGAAATTTCTAAATCAAGTTTTCATACTTTTTCTAAGCCAGTCTTTAAATTGCCTTTTTCATTTTCAGACAGTGGACGTGAAATGGTCAGTTGGTGACTTCATATACAGGGTGTTCGTGTCAGAGGACCTGCAGTTGACTCTGTACAAGGTGGCTTTCGGTTCGGATGTTCTGAATGCAGACCCAATCTTGACTTGGGATCTGGTATCTTCTTCCTCCAACAGCAGCACCAGTGACGCTTGGTCAGACAACCACAAAGTGTCAATTGAAAAGGAGCAGGACTATGTATACATTGAGAGTGAGTCGTCGATGAGAATAGTTCAGAATCTTATATAGGTCACGATGATTTGTTCAGGCTTAAATTCATTTTTCGCATTTTAGCTTTTGATTTTTTTTGAAATTCAGTTCATTTCCTTTGTTAAAAATGAAGGCAAACTCCACTATTGGACAGTGAAAACGTAAAGGTCACGAAAAACGTGACGGACTTCTAGTTTCGAAATTGGAAATTTATTATCGAATTTCCCAGCTAAATAAAAGTTTTACCTATTCATCCAGTTTTCTCAAATTGGGCTAATTTGATTTTTTTTAAATGTAAATCACAAAATGTTCTAGAAATTCAAAGAGCTGTAAGGGCATCTCTTTTTTTTCGTTAAAATTCGAAGATTTTTTCAAAAAATGAGTCCTTAATTTTTTCTGTTTACTTGCGTTCTTTGACTTTTTCCAACTGTCTCTAGGCTATGTCCTATGAATAGTTACCTTAAAACAGATATGTCGATCCACTGGTAAAAATCATAATATATTCGTTATCAAGAAGAGAGCACTTGATTCTGATTTACATAACTAATAACCATAAAAGAATCCGATCCTGCAAGAACATCAAAAAAGCCAGTTAGCTACCAGAGTGCTCATCTCCGCAGATATTAACACAGACTATTAGTTAACAAATAGCTTTTTAGCTTCAAGGTATCATGTATCTGTAGCGTAGAAGTAGGGAAGGAGACCAGCAACAAAATAAGAGGGTTCGAACCGGGCAGGGTCGGATGTTTTTAACGAATTTTTTCGTATATTAGTTAAAATGCGTCAGCTATATAAATTGAGACATTTTAGTTGATTAATTTCTTTTCAAATTGACTGGTACTGCTAATGCAACATAATTTGCCTGCGTCACTTAGCAGTTATGTAGACTCATAATTGGCGTGCGTCACTTAAGAAATTTTGTAGACTCAAAGTTTTACTCATTCAGTTTTTCCCAATAGTGTTATTAGTCATATTTTTGCTTGTGTATGCGAAGTGAAACTTCGCCTCTGTGTAAATATATCATGTTAAAACCCTCTTAGTCATTATACAAACGACATTAAAAATTTTCTGAAAGTTTTAATATTGTTTAGAAAAACTGGTTTGAAATTTTTGATATCTGCAAAAAGTTTGAAAATTTTTTCGAAAAGGTTGAATTTGGCCAAAACATGAATATGGTCGGAACCTTCTGTGCTAACTGCACGGCAAGTGGCTATCCTTTTTGATATATGCGGTTTTTCATTCTTTTTGCAACTCACTATAGAGGCGTAGAGATAGAAATGTGTACCTTTTAGATGTGATATTTGCTTAAATTGGGTGTTCTTATAAAATAAACTCAATTTAACCTAATTTTTCAGTATTTTACAAGCAATTTTGTCAACCAACTGACATATTTTGAGCATGATTGTAATTAAAATACTTACTCTATCGTAAATAAGTTTTTTTATGTTGATTGTACTTTTCCGAATCTAGTTGATTGTAATCTAGTTTTTGTTTTTATTCGCTTCACATTACGTCGTTTGATGAGCGCAATAACTTTCTCACGCAAATGTGTTCTCTGTGGGGGACTTGAAAACTTTTTTAATGATTTTTTTCTTCAAAAGTTTTCTGCTCTGCAGGCTTTGCTACCGCTTTGTTAGTTTTGTTTTCATGTCATTTGAAAATTTAAATGTTTGACTTGCCATGTGTTTCCTAAAAAGAACTTGATTTAGTCAAATTAAAACAAAGATCTGAAAATTTTTCTTTGGGCGTTTATAAATAAACTTTGACTAAGCGGCTAGTTTTCTATCGGCTAAATTTTCATGCTATGTGTGTTTGTGATATATGTATTTATTTTGTTTATTGAAAATGGTGCGAAAGTCCGCTTCGCCTCTGTGCTTTCGTTATCTCTAAAAAAACGAAAAAAATTTGAACTTTAAAATACGTGTTTCTCTAATTTGGTTGATTTAGGGCAATATTAAAAGAATGAAAATCGTTTTGAATTTTGCCCGATTTCTTTTGGCGGTGAAAAGGTGTTGTGAAATTCCATCCCAAAATTTCATTTTGAAAATTTAATTCTAACGCCTCAACTTGTGTGATCAAATTTAACGCAAAACAATCGGTTCAATTTTCAAACCCAGCTCCATGCTGAAATCATCAAATTTTAAGCCTGATATATTACTGAAAATTGTTAGAAGATTTTGTTTGGTTATCTGATAGCTAAATATGCCAGGTTTTCAGACTTTCTCAAACATTGTTTCAAAAAATGCTGAAAAGTAGCTCAAAATAATTATTTTAGTGTGCCTTTTTTCTGCAATATTTTCTGGAAACGGCTCTTATCATGATTCTTGTTTGGCAATATAATTGCCTTTTACCCTTGCGCAAAAGCAAGGGTATTGCAATCGGGTACTATACTTTTTTTCTCTAAAAAATTTTGTTCACAGAATGGACGTAAAGATAATCATTTCAAATCAATATCAAAATGGTTAGTGTAGTGTGTAGTGTTGGATATCATGTATGGGAGTTTTGGCGCTGGAAGAGGTCGGCTTTAATTTCGTCGGCTTATTTTCCGAATGTTTTTTTTTCGATTAACTTTTGTTGGTATTTTATGGGATGGGAGTGATTGAATGCTTACATGAAATTTCGAAAAAAAATCAAATCAATCTCCTCGACCCTTCTTGAAAAAGCGAAATAATTGAACATAAAAAATTTTCAATATTTTTTTTGCAAAAAAATCATTTTTTTTAGTTTTCTGCTTATTTTTCTCAGCTTGCCTAGCAAAAACTGGTTCAAAAGTTTATACTTTTGGTTGCTCGATTGTCTGTATTTATCGCATTCTTGTTGGTGTGGTTAAAATAGCTCATTAGTTTTTCCACATTTTTTTGTTTAATTTATTTTGAACGTTTCGACATTTGATATTTCATTTTTTTTCTCTCATTGGATTATAACTCATATTTTGTAAAAGTAGCCCTTTCATGAGAAAAATGAGAACCAAGCAAGCCTGCATTCCTATTAAATCAGAATTGAAGAAACTCAAAATGTTCGGTAATTTTGTTCAAAATTGGTAGACGAATTTGTTGTTTTACTCTGTCAACTTGACTTGCTGTCTGCTAATTATCTTAATAAATTTTTTCTATTCCGATAACTTTTGTAGATTTAATGTGTTTAAAACATTAACGAATTAATTTTTGAGTTTTTGTTGTCAATTGTTGAAAATGTTCTATTTTTTTCACGTCCAGATAATATTGATACATTTCCGGTCTCATTCCTTTTTTGAAATGGTTCTATGACAGGCATTCATTTTCTTTTTCATCAGTAGTAGTTTATTAGCTTTTTTCCGATTGAGTTTTGCTCAATTTTTTTTCTGTAAACTTGTACTTTTTGTCCGATCTGATGCTCATTTTTTTTAGGAATTAAAATTGGCGTTTGTTTTCGGCTTCAGAACTTTTCAAAATAATATGATTGTTCTTAGTCAGTATCTCTTTCTTTTTTGATTCTCTTTGTTTGCTTCGAGTTTTTTGAGCAAGATGGATTAATGCTAAGATTTTAAACTGTTATGCATTTTTACTTTTCATTTTTTTAAAACATTTTTTCTCAATAGTTCAGTGTTGTTTTGAGACATCTTTTGAGTTTTTTTAATACAAATCGTTTTGTTTGCGAATTTTATCTGTTTTGGTTCTGGCAAAGTTTGTATATCTTTGTCTTCTGTAAAAAATCAGAATTCGTTTTTTTAATCTGTTTGATGTTTACAGATATTTTCATCGCGTGTCTTTTGAACTCTTTGATGCATAGCAGGCAGGTTTAAAACGTCAGTCGGAGATAATAATAGTGCTTGTTTAAAATTCAAAAATGTTTTACAAAAATTTTCTTATCTAATTTTTCAAATTTTTTTTCTTTACATAGTTTTTTTCATCGCAAGTGGTGCGAAGCTCTGCTTCGCCTCTGTGTAATATATATAGAGTAGGTGCGTTTTTATTTTCACGCCTGCAATTAACACGCGTTTTCAAATGGGAGCATAGACTGTTTTTAGGCTGATAACTTGTTTGACTAAGTCATTCGAATGGTTTGGTCAGTTTTGATTTTGTCAACAACAGCATTTTTTTGAGCATGTCTTTAATTTGATAAAAATGTCTTTCAGTTTTTTTTGCTGGTTCTAAATTTACCAACTCTAATTTGGTCTAATTTAGTTTTTTCAATTTCTTATATATATATATATATATATATATATATATATATATACCGTACTATGTTAGGATTGTATCGCAAGTGGTGTGAAGCTCTGATTCATCGTTGTGTTCAAGTGTGATTTAGTGTTATTATTATGCATTTTTCACTTTATTTTCCTCGTTGCTCCTATTTTCACATGCAAGCAGCAGTGTCAGTTCTTTCTTCCATCTGAACTCGCATAAATCTGTGCTTTTTCGTGGCACTTTGTCTGCATTTCTCGTGATTTTGGTGGCCAGTATTTGAAGATAGCAACTGTTGATGACACAGCATTGATAGATTTTTTGTATGCTGTTACTTTTTTCGGATACCCTTTATATATCTGGCGTTTCAAAAGATCCTGGGCCAAAATAAATATACATTGATTAACATAACGGTGCAAAAAAGATCGTTCTATTTCTCAGCATGGTAAAATTAGAGTTTTGAAAAATGGATTCCTCCTCAACTGAGGCTTTTAGTACAGTGACAAGTGCGTTTAGGTCCGGGTTGGCCTTCTCATAGAGTAATTTCGGATAAGGTGCACATTCTGTTCATCACGCTATCATATTTTCGGCCGGATAGATTCGTGCAACTTCTTAGTCTAGTACCGATCCTTACCTTATTTTTATATTTCCTAGTCTCAATAGATCTAGCATATGCTTGTATTCTTGCGAGGCTAGAGGACAGAAAGAGGCAACTGATTTCTAAGCTGAATTTTTTTTTCTCTGGCTGAAACTATGAATAGTTTCAGCTTTACAGTTTATCATTACAAAAGCTAGCTTGTGTGATAGTATGTACTTTCTTTTTTCCAACCTAAGTCGCAAATATTAGTGTTCATTTTGTACACTAGCAAAGCTTGTGTGATTTTGAAAGTGTTCATTTTGATCAATAGCCAGCTATTCAGTACAACCAATGCTAAGGATATTAACACAGATTATTCTATTACAAATAGCACTTTAGCTTCAAGGTATCATGGATCTGTAGCGTAGAGGTAGGGAAGGAGACCAGCCACAAAATAAGAGTGTTCGAATCTGGACCGGGTTGGATGTTTTTAATGAATTTTTTCGTATACTATTTAAAATGCGTCCGCTCTATCAATAGAGGCATGTTAGTTGCCATTTTTTTTCAAATTGTCTGGTTTTGCTAATGCGTGATAATTGGCTGGCATCACTGAGCAATAATATAGACTCATAATTGATGTCACTTAAGAAATTTTGTGGACTGAAAGTTTTAATCATTCAGTCTTTCCCAGTAGCGTTATTGGTCATATTTTTGCTTGTGTATGCGAAGTGCAACTTCACCTCTGTGTAAGTTTAAGTAATGGATCATGATTAGTTAGTTCTAAATATTATTTTACGGTGATAAATATCCAGGTATATAATAAATACATGTTTTGAGCTGGTTCCACAAGGCTTTCACTCTGAGATCTGCAGATTGTGTATATTCAATATCTTGCCATAAAAATGAAATTCTCAGGACGAGCCTACCGCTACCTCGCTGTTTCTTAAAAAAGCCTGCCCTAAAAAATGAGGAATTAGCATCTACCAGACTACCCTTGGACATGCTAACACTTCTGATAGATCTTCTGGAAATGCAAGTATTGGGCTTAGTTATAGAGATCTGTTGCTTGTTTTAGGCCGCGCGGTAGGTTTCGCAGTGAAGCTGTACGGGACTGATTCTGTCTATGTAACTCTGAGTGACTATTGGGAGTCGGACGATGACGAGACTACATACAGTACCAAAGTCAGTGGTCTTTGCAGCAACTACAACGGCGACAACCAGGGTTGGTAATTTACTAGGTTTAGCTTATTTCACACCCCTATAAGAGTTCTCTAATATGTCAATTGGTGGCTTATACCGACTTATCTCTACTCATTTCTCGAGGACGAGACATTTCGGAGCCAAAAAAGGAAGCTAAAATTATTATGCTTTGGTCATGTATTCAATAGGATTTTCCCGAATAGAACTGAATAACTTAACTAACTTAACTTATCCATTCTTTTTGTTCATGAATGAGTTTTATATAAAAAGTGAACAAAAGCGAAATTGAAAAGCACGTTTTGGGCTGACATTGGTTAACCAGTGAGAAATGGGATCTTTTCTTCTTATGCGGTCCAAAACTAGAAAAATTTTGAAGTAGTTATTATGTTCAAAATTGAGATCAGGTTTCTTTTCTAATAATTAGGTTCATCCAATCGGATTCAAGCATATATATGATCGAATTTTTTGTTTTTCAGACGATGTTGTCGACTCGTCTGGATCGACTATTCCCATGAACTCGTTCATCTTGCAGAGTGAAAAACGCGGCGAAGGACAAGTGAGTGGTCACAATTTACTCAAATTGGCAAATAGCGCAAATTAATTATTCCAAATTGGTCAAATTAGTCCCAGATTTGAACATCCATAACTTTGCGAGTTAAGCAACTTTTTGTGTATAAGTGATTATCATTTATAAAGGTCGCGATAGTTTTTTTTTTTTTTTTTCATTTTCCAGGAAAAAGTCTTAATTTTGTTCGCGCTCAAGTTTGTTTTTTAATTTTTGTTCACGCTTAAATTTTGTTTCACGTTCAAATTGTTTATGTTCACTTCAATTCTTTTGTTAAATGAAGTCAAACTCCACCATCGAGCAGCAAAATTCAAAATGTCTTTTAGTTTCATCTATACACTTTATTTTTCTGAATTCTCAGCGGAGTAAAAAGTATATATTTCAATCCAGTTTTTTCTTAAAAGGAAGGCTACCCACAACACAGTCATCATTCCCAAAGTGTGGAGCAACATTGCTTTCGATTGAATAAATTGCTTAAATTTTTTAATACTTTTCCCCCGCGAAATCAGGCGTTTCCACTTTACAACCACTTTATAAATGCGAAAATAATAGATGAACACTTATAAAATTTGATGGGTTTCAACCCCCCTGACTCCAGATTATGCTAATCATTTTCAACATAAGTTCAGTTCATTTATGTTAAATGACTGTTTGGGGGCTAAGGTGTCTGCAGGGGCATATCGATACAGTTTCTGTATAAGCCCAACAATCGAAGTACAAGTTGTTGGACATTCATTTTATGTCGAAAACTGTTGACAAGTTTCCGTATATTTTTTAATATCGAATTTCTAGGCTTTCGTTTAGATTCTCTCATTTGTATTTTTTTTCTCAAATATGGTCGGAACATTATGTGATACTTCCTCTTCGTAAAGGTCACGAAAAACGTGATCGAATTCTTGTTTCGAAAGTGGAATTAAGTCATCAGATTACCCAGCGAAATAAAAAAAATACTTAAGATCCAGTTTTCTCAATTTGGGTTAATTTTATCAAAAAAAAGGTCGGTCATAGTTTGTTCTAGAAATTCATGCTTTTTGGATATCAATTTTTTTTAAATTTGAAATTTGATATATAAAAAAGCAATTTAATATTTTTTTTCTGTTCACTTGTTTTGGCTATGATTAGTTTTAAATAAACTCTCTAATTTAGACTTGTTCTGCGCCCGAGGCTACACTGCACACGTGTGTAAACAAGCCAGATCTCTGGGAGGAGGCACTGTCTTTCTGCGGAAGAATGAAGGACAACGCAACTTTTGGAGAATGCGCCGGTGGAAGCGAAAAGGTTTTTTGTTTTCACTGTGCAATCTTGAAGATATTCTTATCTTTCAGTCAAAATGTTTTTATATTTTTTCATGTTTCTAACTATTCGAATTTATCTGCTTAATTAGAATTTAAAAATTAAAAATCATCAGATAGATTTTTCAAAATGACTATTCCAGGTTTTCGTAGAGACTATCTCCTGAAAGGAGCTCTTGAAGAGTTCATGTGTTTTTGTGTATTTCTTCAATAGATTTAGTAACCTTAAATGTACAACCTCAATTTTAGTAACCTCAAGCGGTGATCAATTGCGCTAAAAAAATAAGCATGGAACAAGCACCTAACTTGAAGTTTTTTTTATTCATCGATCGTTTGTAAGCATCGTTTGTGTTAAGCTGTGTGTGCCATCATTCATCCTGGCCTGTACATGGGAATACTGCCTCTATGGTGACAATGAGGTTGAGATCCGAAACAAGGCAGTCTGCACCACTTTCGACGCTTTCGTCCAGTCCTGTGCCGATGAGCAACTCAGCATCGGAGAGGTAGACTGGCACGACTCCAAAATATGCCGTGAGTCCCAATCTTAATTATTTTGTTTTCGCTATACAATGTTTGTCGAGTTTCAATTTAGAAAAACTTCAAATACAAAATCACCTTAGAAAAACTTCAAATAAGTGAGAGAAAATACAAAATAGTGAAGTAATCAAGGATAACCGGTTGCTGTGCAAGAAGCACATAATGATCCGAGTACAATCATTAAAGTAAAATTATTTGAAGCTGATTTTAAAGAAACGTGAGAATTTTTCGTCATCGTTCCTTCAAATATTTTGGTAGCTTTTTTTTCAGTAACCATTTATTGAAGTACGTGCGAGCTGTAATTAATGAGGTAATTTTAGCTAAAATAATGTGAAAAAATTGCAATGGAAACCATTCGAGAGTACATTTTTTATCCTGTTATTTGTAAATTCTGTATCATTTAGTCTGAAATTTAGTTTGAAGTCTGAAAACACAAAGAAGAGTTTTCTTGAAGTGTTTAAAATTGCCTGAAAAAAGACCTTATGCCATTGTTCCTCCACACTTCTAAAGTTGGTTGGAACAAAAAGTATAAAAATTGATGGTACAAAAATGTTTATATTAAAAAAGTCAACAACTGAGCACGTGTTGGCCATTTTTGTTAATTTGAGAGTATAGTAAACAACTGTCCATGTGTTGACCATTTTTACCCTTGCAATAAGAAAGGGTATTGCAATCGGGTGCTAGACATTTTTTTCAACAGAATGATTTCCAATTTCAAGATCTCCTTTTTCAGCATGTTGCACGTTTAACACCTCGAGTTATTGTGCCCAGAGTGAATGCGTTCCTGGATCTACTGGTAAAAAATTTCAGATGTAAAATTGTTTTTTTTGCAGGTTTAATTGGTTTCGGTCTAATTTTTGTCGGCATATTTGCCGGCTGCTTTTTTTTTGAAAATTCAACTCAATTGATTATTAAACTCAATTCGAAAAAGTAACACGATGACAGGCTTTTTCTTATTCTTTTTTTACTCAAGCGAAGCGTAGTGTAATATTACGAAGACTTTTTTTCTAACCTAAGTCGCAAATAAAAGTGCTCATTTGGTGGCAACTTTGGTGAATTTCAGCTTAATCATATTTAAGCCTAATTAAGCTTAACCAATTTAATGGCAAATGTTGCTGCTTTTTTTTGGCTAGAGTTAATTTGTAAACATACATGTATAACGAAAATGTATGGGATTGTTGTTTTCTGTTTTTTTGCAACCCCGTGGAAGTTTTTTGACTTTGCGCAGAAGTTTCAATTTTTCTCAAAGAACTACTGTACCGATTTTTTCTTTAAAATGGTTCCAGTGAAAAAAACCGGCTGCTCTTCTATGTGCCTGCAATTTTTGCCAGTCTTTTTTTTATTTAAATTCACGTTCTACAGCCTTCGAAAGTTTTAGTAGGGGATTTTTGGCTGTTTTGTTTGAGTTTTTCATTTTCTCAAATTTTAAATGCACAAATCTGAGATGTAGGTTTCAATAAAAAAAAATTATGTGGACCTCCGCTTTTTGAGCGGCTATGCCCTAAAATCGGTAGAAAAAAAAGAAAAACTACCCTGCCAATTCCGAAATTATGGGCTAGCCGAAAGAAAAAAAATCAGTCATGCGAATCATTTTACGCAAGCGGCTATGCCTCGCGTTTCGTAAAAAATATATTCGGCCCTAGAAAGTGTCCAATTTTATGAAATGTTGTCCATTTTTTGGAAAGTTGTTTTTTTGTTTTTCAAAAACGGACATGCTGATTCTGAGGTTGATAGTTCATTTAAACTAACATTGTGCTTAGATGTTCTCTGCTTTATCTGTTTTATTTAATTTGTAAAAAAAAAGCTGATATGGACTTTGGAAAAATTCTTTTTAAAATTTTTAACGTGTTTTTTGCTTAGAAATTTTGGTCGCTATTCTCGAAAACTACTTGCTAAATCTGATTTTAGGTATTCAATCTGAAAAATCAGGGTGCGGAAGTGTTCAATCTGAAAATCAGGGTGTGGATTTAGGAGAAGTCAAATTTTGGATCGATTTTCATCTTTTTCTTTTTTTTCCAAATCTAGCCGGCCAAATCTGAGACAAAGACTTCAATTGAAAGAGAGAGTAGTCATTTATATAAGCGGTTAATCCCCTACTTAAGCAGATAAACCAGGGTTTAGCGTGAAGTCCACTTTTTTGAATTTTTGAAATTTGCGCATTTCCGTATCAGGAAAATATATGATAAAAAATATAAGAACAGGTAGATCTAGATCCAGCCTTACCTGTGCCACTAGTTTACTTCCAAGCGACCGTGGCGGAGATGCGAGGACGCGAGACTCCTCATCAACAGGTCGGGTATTCAAATCCGGAACCTTTATATAGTTTTGTTTTGTTTTGGTCGAATTTTTGCCGAATAACCTTGACAATTTGATAGAAACTCTAGCTGCTTGATTGATGGCTAGTGTTGATAAAATTTTAAAGGGTCGTGCAAACTTGATTTTTTTGTGCTTTTTTGGGCTATCGTCCATCTGCCTATTTTAATATTTTTCAGTACTCGGCTCTCAGCGTTCCTCAAGTATCACAGAATTAAGGCAGATGCTTGAAAACTTCAATAGATTGATCTCAAAAAGTGACGTTCTGAAGGCCACTGGTGCACTATATATGCGAATATTTAAATGTCTGGAGGAAACCATTTTCAGCAGTTGCTAAAGTGACTCACACAAAACGTCCTTTATTTTATTTATATCTATTCTATAAAAAATTATACAAATTGCCTTATTCCGGTTACAAGTTATAGCCAATTGAATTTGTGCAGAATTTTTGAAAAAGCCTGTAATATATTATTAGATATAGTATTGTTCATTTTTGAATGTGATCGTTATGTCGGTTTTGGTTGATTTAGTGTGTGTTTGTTTTAGCCAAATACGAGTGCACTAGCAAGAATAAAGTGTACAAGCCCCAAGGTAGCATCTGCCAGCCTGCCTGTGGAACGCCCAAACCAGGAATGAACAACGACTACTGCAGTAAGGCTTTTTTACCTAATATTTTCTCTTGTGGTTATTATATACCAACCTATATATTAACCAGCAAACGTATAAAACATCTGCATAATTATGCAACAGTTATGTATGTTATATTTTTTATACAAGTGTTAATAACCTCTGTGATGATATTTGGAGATATAAAATGTGTTTTCTTTTTATTTTTGGCAATCAACTCGTGGCTCAAATATCAAGTCTGATTGTTTTTAGAAAAGCAGATTGCGGGATGTTTCTGTCCCGCTTCGATGTTGATTGACTCCAAGAGTCCCCAGCTGGACTGTGTGATGCCTGATGATTGCAAATGCTACCACAACGACGTTGCCTACAAGAAAGGAGACGTGATTCAAGTCAGCTGCTCCTCATGGTAACTATTTTACCAAATTCAAAACTAGATATAAGATAGTTATTCGTCAAATAGCACATTAGTTGCCAAGAAAATGAACAAAATATTTAGTGCGAACTGCTAAAAAAAATCCATCTTTTATTTTATGACTCGTTTTTGGTTGTTCGCAGCACTTGTGGGTCGGGCGGTATGTGGGATTGCGTGGCTCACAGTTGCAACCACCAGATGGAGATTATCGGCATGCACTTCCGAACATTCGACCACACCTGGTACACCTTCTGCGGGACAGGTGAATATATCCTAGTAGAGGAAATGAAAGATCTGAGCTTCAAGATCTACATCGACCATCCCAATGCACCCAAAGATGCCTCGACTGGGTTGAGGAAAATGGTACCGACTGGTATACCGATTTCGATCAGGATGGAACTGATGGACGGAGAGAGTTCAATCTGGAGTGTGGAATTGTGGAAGGATACAGTAAAATGTAATGGAGCTTCTATCAACAAGTTCCCTTACAAGTTAGTACTTTTTATAGTTTTCCTCTTTAAATTATGGGAAAAGTATTGATTTCGAATTTTTGAAAGTCTTCAACCAATATTTTTGGATAGCAAGAAATGACCAAAAACATGACAGAAGGTTACAGGCAATTGGATGCAGGACAGGTTATCAATTTTTGTCATATTGTCATTACATTAGCGAGCTAGTGAGTGTAGTGTATTAGTATGAATCTACTTTTTTCCAATCTAACTTGCAAATAAAAGAGCGTATTTGGTGGCATTGGTGCTATAATCACGATCTGTAGCATTGGAAATTTCATAACATCTGTTCTCCGTTTTTTTGTGACTAGTGTTTGTCGATCGTAAAGCGTACGTGGCTGACAGAGAAGGACGTGAGACTCCAAATGTTGAGGTCGCAGATTCGAATCAGACACCTTGCAAAAGTTTATCCAATATGAGGCTTTTTGCTACTTTTTCTTATTTCACTTTATAGAGCTGGCTTTTGTCGCTTTCTCGATAGTGTCTGCAAAGCGGAGCTTCGACTCTGTGTTGAGAATTTAATGCCAAGCTAAATCCTTCCGCAGAGTTTAAAATTACAGATTTTAGTATCCCAATAAAACTTTGTTGAACTTTGCTAAAGGTGCTGAGTGAGAGTCGATGAATTTGGATCAGATTTTTATAGATTGTGATATTTTTTTCAGAAGCCTTAAAATTTGCTCAGGCCCATGTTTCATTTTTCGATGTTCGACTTTTAATTTCTTTTTAAGCTCAGGTCACTTTTTTGAAAGGAAGGCAAACTCAATTATCGAATAGCAAAACAAAAGTGTACAGGTGACAAAAAACGTGATTGGCTTCTAAATTCCCTCAATGGATTTTGAATTTCAGGTTTTCCGGTGGAATAGAAACTTTACCTATTGGTCCAGTTTTGTCACATTGAGTTAATTTTACCAACATATATCAATCATAAAATGTTCTTGAAATTCAAAGAGCTGTAAATTCATGTTTTTTATTGAATTCGTAATGAAAAATTGGATGTTTTTTTTTCTGTTTTCTTGGTTCAATGACTCTATTTCAACTGTCGTCGGCTATGTTTTTTTCGGGCAAAATCAGATACCACAAGTAATAATCGGATTTAATTGACTGATCTATCATACTGAAGCACTTTTAGTTGTGATGCGAACGAAATAAAGAAAATCAAAAAGCTTTCCCAACGCTCAGAAAAATTGGCTTACGTTTTCGTCTAATGCCGAGCAAGTAAAATGAACGAGCAAGTAGATTTTATGAAAGAAAGTATTTCACTCAAGTAGTTTTCCCCAGGAAATTTAACTTTGGTAGCTTCATTTAGCAATTCCTTGGCAAATAATTTTTAAAAAATTCAAAAAGAGTTTTTTTTGCTGAAAGCTAAGGAAACATTTTTGGATTTTTTGTTTGTTTTTCACTTTTCAAAAACAAATTTTGGCAGTTATACCTAATTACTAACGCTATAAGCGTTTGTATAGTTTTCTTTTCACGTCATGCTTGAGAAATTACACTTATTTGTAGAAAAATGAAAGAACCTCTTTTAAAGGTGTTTTAATGAATGCGTTAGGAACATTCTGGCCTAGTTGCACGGCAAACATTCATTCTTTGTTGTTCCGATCATCTGAAAAATGTGGAGGATACTATATTTGGGTGTGTCCACGCAAAATCTTTTACCACAAATAATCATCATAATGGGTTGAGAATTATATATTAAAGCTCTTGCAGTCAAGATTCGAACGACATTTAAAAATTTTGTAAAGTGTTGAGAAAAACCGGTTTGAATTTTTATTTGTGAGCTAATAAGGTTTGTCAAAACAAGTTTTGCAAGCTTGCAATAGCTTATTTTGCAAGCTTACAATAGCTTATTTAAATTTTTAGCGCCATTTTAGGAATCAGAGCTTCAAATTTTTTTTAATTCTGCAAAAAAAAACGGAAGTTTTTTCAAATTATTTTACGATTGTTTTTCTTTTTTTTTCTACCGAAACTGTTTCCCTATTGGCATATTTGACTATGTCGAATATATCTAATTTCTTACCGTCACGCCACACAGAAAAAAAAGACACCAATTTGGAAAAAAAAAATGTATTTTTCAAACTCTGGTTGTAACATTCTGTGCTATACAAATTTTCATTACTTCTTCGCTATCTTCACTTTCGAATTTGTTCACTTCCTTTATTATATGATCATGGGCTATTTTTGCTTATAGCAAGGTGCTGAAGGTTGGTCTGTTCACGGAGGCCAGTGTGATGAGTCTGGGCATGAGTTACTACCTGGTTCAAGTGGACACCTACTCCATGGGCACGATCTCAATCCTCTACGACAGAGGATCCATCGCAATCATCACTCTCACTCCCTCATTCCTCGACATGGTCAGTCTTCTAGGTCACAATAAGTACCTCCCTCTATTATTAAAAATAACCAAGTCCAAGGGAAACATTGGATAGGATGTAGTTATCTTGGAGAGCGTTTGTTTCGCCGGCCTTGCAATTGTAAGTTAAATTAGTTAGTATAGTGTCATGATAATTCAGTAGACCACCATGATCTTTTCATGAGTTAGGTAACATTCCCAGTCAAGAAAAATTACTAGCAATTGCGTGAGGCTTCATCAGGTATAAAATAGCGCTTCATTGATAAGAACAAAACATCCCTTTCAGCGCTGATAAAAAGCCTTAATCTTAACCAGGGTCAGATTGAGAGAGGGGTGCGGATGCCCTACAGGAATTCGATTCACTCTCAGCTTAATGGATCCATCTTTGGTGCAATTCTACGGCTTCAATTATTGGCTGACCTAAACCCTAATTTTTTTCCAATGATGCAATATATAATAGGTTTTTATTTTGAGAGTGAGAAGGGGGTTTGTTTTGCATCGAAACATATTTTTGTGTTTACAGCTGAAAGGTATGGGTGGCTATTACAACAACCTTAACAAGGACGACTTTAGAAAACTCGACAATGTGGTTGTCACTTCTGTCTCCGAGTTTGCCCTCTCGTACGAAGTAAGCGACAATTCCGTCATGGTCACCGATGACATGCATCGGGAGCTAGATGACGCGTGTAGTAGTCTCGACCCCAAGTAAGTTCTGAAAGCCAAATTCCTCATTGTACAAAGTTAAAATAAGCCAATGAGATTGGAGTAATTAAAAAGTTTTAAATAAGCCTCGTAGACATTGATTTCTGCCATTTTTATCGCCTGTCTTAAGTTAATAAGCCACAGCTTCACGAAAATTTATTTGACTTGCATGATTCTCAATTCATTTGCAACTTCATCTCTTTTTTCTGTAATTTTTGTCAGCAACCCAATTTTCAAACGAACATTTCTTTTACAAAAAAAACACCATAATTACTTTGAAGAATGTCCACTTCTATTAAATTGATTTAAGGTTGTATGCAGCTCACTGTGAGGTGCTTCGTGACGAGTCGTACTTCGGGGCCTGTTATGAGTACGTGGAGATCTCCAAGTTTGTTGACATGTGTCGATTCGATGCCTGCCACGCGTACCTCGATTCCACTTTGAAAAACGATATATCACAGTGCCAGGTTATCGAGGCATACGTGGTCATGTGTCTGGAAATCTCAGGCGCCAACAGCCAGGCATCCAACGCTTCCATCATCGGAGACTGGCGATCGGATGCTCTGCTGGGCGGATTTTGCGGTAAGAGATCTTTTCTGTCCCCTTCTCCTCTTCTTGCTCCACTTTTTTCCCAATTAAGCGCAAACTTTTATTCGACTTTATTGTTTTTGTGAACTATTTCGCTTTATTTTTTTTCCTTTGAGTCTGACAACGCTGAGGCTGTTTTTTTACTTAAACTAAAAAGTTATTCTCTAATTGATCAGTTCGTCTGCTCCAACTGCAGGTCGCTCTTGTTGCAATGGATTGGTCTACCAGGAATGCAGCAACCCTTGCATCATGCAATCATGTTCCGGTGTCACCTTCTGGGGTGGCGTATCTCGTCTACCCGACTGCTCAATGCCATGTGTGGGAGGATGCGTGTGTCCAGGAGCTAACGAAGTAGTGGCGCAGGACGATCCAGTCACTTGTGTGTCGTATGAGAATTGTCCGTGCGAGTACAAGAACCACATGTACAACAGTGGAGAACAGCTGGAACAAGGATGCGCCATGTGGTAGGCGCTTTAAAGTTGACTCCTTAAGATCTATTTTTTGGCCAGGAACAATTTTTGTGATTAGTATTGAGTTTTATTCTTTACAAGGCCTCTTTTGAATAAGTAGCATGTACCAGGTGTTAAGCTATTCATACCATATACTCCCCAATCCTTAATAGAGCAGGAATTTTTTGAATTCAATTGATTTAGAACTCAAAATTTATCTTCCGATAAAAAGCATACAAAAATCAAGTCTCTATGATACCTTCTGGAAAATGAGATGGTTGACTGTGAGTTTTCAGAAGCCCCAAGTGCATACAACTAAACTAGCCTTCTAAATTCTTGATTTAATTCTTATTTCATTTTTATAAAGCTCGATTGTTTCAAAGGCAAAAAGTGACAATCTGGCTAACACTACCGGTTTGGGTTTGCCTTAATAAAATGAATTAAACGAGGTTTTCAAATATAGTAGTTGGTGTTTTCAAATATATAGTTGGTTAATTTAGTACCCAACAGTCTAAATATTTTATGAGACGTTGGCTCATTTTTTGCTCATTCACTTGAAAAATGTTTCAAATGGTTTTTGATATTGCTGTACCTTTTTTGTTAGATAATTAGGTAAAAAAGAGAAAAATTTTGTATATTCTCCGTGTTTCAGCAACTGTTCGGCTGGTGTGTGGAGCTGCTCGTATGAAAAATGTCTGGAAGAGCTTTGTGACCTGGACCACGGATTCGTGCTGTCACTCGACTACAACAAGTGTCCGCAGACATGCCAGAACGAGGTGAAAAAAAGGGCTTTGGGCGAGTCTGTTACGTGCAAAGCTGAGGACATCGTCGAGATGGGCTGTGTGTGCCAGGAAGGATACTATCGGATGGTAAGTCCAGTAAAAAAATATTATATTCATCAAAAGGGAAGATTTTCAGATGCTGACGAAGTCTATCAATTGCTTTTCCAAACAAATAACATAACTTCCAGCTTTCCTTGAGATTTGCCATTAATGGGGAGGGTAAGTCGGAGTTTTGGATTATTATCTTGGATTTTTTAACAACATAATTTTTATTTTGAGCATTTAAAAAATTACTGCTTGCAACGATTCAAATATCAAAAAATGCATACCTAGTTTTCTATGACCAACTTTAGTGGATCCTGAGATTTCTTAAAGAAGCTGATTGTTCGGCCATTTAAAAATGGGGAGGAACTTTTTATTCGGGTGTAATTTGGTTTTTTTATTTTTTTTTCATGGCAAAATCAGTTACCACAAATAATCATTGGAGAGTGTTGAGTGATAATATCATATTGAAGCCCTAACAATCGTGATATCAACGACATTAAAAAAATTTCAAACAAAATTTCGAAAAAATTTCCAACTGTCGAGAAAAACCAGTTTGAAAGTTTTGGTTTTTCGTCTAATTTCGAGTGAGCGAGCAGGGTTATAATAGTTAATTTCAATAGCTTAAAAGCTTACAAATGCTTAATTTAAGCGGTTAAAACTTGATTTTACTCGCCTAAAATTAGTTGTCTTGGTATTTTTGTGCCTTTTTGGAAACAAAAACGCCGAAAATGCAAAAAACTGTAAAAAAAATGAAAAACCGGCTATCTTTGTTTTAATGTGAAACTCCTGGCAACTCAAATTAAAAGAAACATGGAAACTTTCAAATTCAAATCTTAAATTGTCAATGATTGGATTGTATTGTTGTCAGGGAGACCACTGCTACCAGTTCGAGGCCTGTCCCTGCGAACATGACGGAATCCCATACAACTCCAATGAAACCTTCAGGTAATCCTTCACCCTTTCGATAGAAACGTACTGCAAACGGGCACTGGATTTTTTCCTAGTAGGAATTTTTGTATCAAATTTGGCTCGCATCACTTTGGAGCCAAAATTTTAGCAGGCTTCCTTGCTTACAAACATCGAGGAAATTCCAGTTTGCAATTTATTTGTTCCCACACGCTTGTGCGATGGAATAAAGTATATCTTTCAGTATATTTTAATAAGGCTCAAATTCTATTTGACGAAAGATTTAGTTTATACACGGGTGGAGGTGCTCGACTTATGTTTAAAAGTAATAAACGTAGCGAAGACTCTTATATAGGTCTTGGGTGATTTTTTTTGTTTTGTTTTTCATGAAAAAGTCTTAAAACGCTCTGATAACTACAGATGTGCATTCATACATATTGATGCATTTATGGATGCTTTTATGTATATATGCCTTTTTTGAGTTCAATTAAAATTCATCTGCTGAAAGTGATGTAATCAGCATTCTTCAATTACGAACGTGGAAATGGCGCAAAAAACGTGAACGATTTTTACTTTGGAAAGTGGAATTTAATTGTTAGATTTCCAGCGGAATAAAAGCTTTACCTGTTGATCCAATTTTCTCAAGTTGGGTTAATTTTATCAAAAAGCGCTACTTGTTTTAAAAATTTAAACAGCGTACTGGGCATCTATTTTGCTCTTTGAAATTCGAAAGTTGAGATTTTTCAACAAAGTCAGAGTTTTTTTTAAATGTTTTCTTGCGTCCATTCTATTTTTTTCCAATCTTCGATTGGCTATGTTTCGACTTTGAAAGTCGAGCAAGTTCAGCTCCGCGACTGATATTCCGCGTTCGAGAAGCAGTTTTAGGTCGAGCACAAGGTCGAAACATACCCGATTTCCGTCCAGAGAGTCGAAACATGCCCTATTTTGGTCAAAAGATAAGTCGAGAAAGTCGAAACATAGGTCGAGCACAGTCAAAACATACTTGATTTTAGTCAAAACATAGGTCTAGCGCTGTCGAAACATAGGTCGAGCACAGCCTCATTATTTAATTTTTTTTTCAAGATTTATTTAAATTTTAATTGGAAATTGAGCGAAAAAATCTGCTCAAAAAAATCTCTGTCGGAAAATTGCAACCCGTAACAATCAAATGAGGAGATTTGCTTACCGCAAAACTAGAAGTTTCAGAGAAAGCCGTTAAAATTTTGGAAATCTAAGGATTCTTGCTGCAAGAAAAAGTAATTTCTACCAAAAATTCCGCAAATGTCGGTTTTCAAATCAACGTTTTTAGTCCAGTTTTGTGAACAAAATAAAAGCTAAGTTGCGAGATTCAGTTTGAAAAAATTAGTTTTCGACAGGAATTTTTTGCATTTTATAAATTTTTATAGTTTATTTTTAAATCAAGCACCATAACAGAAACCTAAAAGCATGCATTTTAATTTTTTGTCAATTTACTCATGCTATTGGAAAGTCGAAATATATGTCGAGCACAGTCAAAAAATACCCAATTTTGGTCGAGCGGATACGAAACATAGGTCGAGCCCAGTCGAAACAAACCCAATTTCGATCTAGAAAGTCGAAACATAGGTCGCAATTGATTTAGTCGACTACGTGATTCGAAACACTCCAAACTTCGTAGAAAAACTTTGTAATTCTACGAAGTTTTGATATTTTCCAACAAAATTTTTAATTGTAACTCTGCATTTCATTTGACAAGATTTATTTTTTTTCTTTCCTATGTTTCTATTTCTACTTTTCATTGTTTTTTTTTGTTTCTAAAGTAACGGATGCCAGACTTGCACATGTTATGCTGGTCAATGGGAATGTTCTAATGAGGAGTGTGACTCCATCTGCTCGTCTTACGGGGACCCCCACTTCACTACATTCGATGGCACGAGTTACACTTTCCAAGGCGATTGCATCTACTACCTAGTGAAGGAGAAAAAACAGAACTTCGACAGCGAAGTCGACTTCTCAATTCAGGCAAGTAACCGCTCAGTTAAAAATTGGGTTCTATCCCCTTCCTTATTACAAAAGGAGGAAACTCGTAACTAAGTACAATTACTTAACCCTTGAAATAAGATGATCTGAAATGAGGAGATATGAGACGGAATGGCGTCACCCGATTGTATCGCTAATTCGAAAATCACAAGCAACCGCCACCTCTCGCATTTTCAGTGTTCCCGGCCAACTTAGCCTGGAGGAAATGAATATGTCTGGGAAGGCAAAGTGTCCGGGTTCGAATCTGACCTGGACTTGTTTTTTTTTCAAACGGGAAATGTTTTGTTACAAATAAATGTGCCGGCCAATGAATTGTCTGTTTATCTGTTGTCGGCCTAGTTGTCACTTCTTGAACAATTTTTTCTGCTGCGCGCATTGTTCTTCAATGTTACTTTTAGTGTTTGATTTACGCCTACAGTTTGTAATCTTATTTACCTTGATTTCGCATTTTCTTCTTTTTTTGTTTCGCTAAAAAAATTCCTCGGCCCAATATATTTTGGCCTATTTTTTATCGGCCTAATGACCTAGTTTTGGGTCGTTTAAAGGGAAACAATTTTGACACTTCCCTCTAGAAACTTTTCAAGTTGGTTATATGTTTACCTTTTAAGTTTGTTTACACAAACGAAGCGTAGTGCATTATTACGAAGAAGTTTTTTTGAACCTAAGTCGCAAATTCAAAGTGCTCATTTGGTGGCACTTTTGGTATATTTCAATTTAATCATATTTATGCTTATTTAAGCATAAATGCATTAATCGCATATGTTGCTGCATTGTTTTGGCTAGTGTTAGGTACTGTTTGAAAAAACAGGTATTATGAAAATATATGGAATTTTTTGCTTTTCGTTTTTTTGCGACGCTTAGCTAAATTTTTGCACTTTTCAAGGAAATTTCAATGTTTCTCAAAAACGACTGTACCGATTTTAAAAAAATGGTACTAATAGAAAGACGGGCGGCTCTTCTATGTGCCTGCATATTTCGCTAGTCTCTTTTCATTTTAGTTGACGTTCTACGGCCTTCGAAAGTTTCAGTGGGGCGGTTTTTGGCCTACCTATTCTGAAGTTTTTGAATTTTCTCAATTAATAAATGCAAAGATCTGAGATGAAAGTTTCTATCAAAACAACAATTTATTTGGATATCCCGTTCTCAGGTGGCTATTCCCTAAGTTTGTGTAGAAAAACATTTATGGCTCAAACAAGTCCATTTTTGACATTTTGATTAATTTTTAAAACTTTTTGACTTTTCTCAAAAACTACCCTGCCAAGTTGGAGATTAAGGTTTTAACCAAAATATTTTAAAAAATCAGTTATGAGATTCTTTTTCGCGCAAGCGGCAATTCCCTGCGTTTTGAAAAAAATGGCTTTAGAAAATTTCCTTTTTTTAAAAAAAAAAATTGCCTGTTTTCAAAAACTAACCTGCTGATTCTGACGTTGATAGTTTATCAAATCTAACATTGTGCTTAGTTTTTCCCTGCGTAATCTGTTTTACCGTGTTTTTTTTTCCAGAAAGGTTGATATGGTCCTCGGAAAAATTCACTTTCAAATGCTTACAGTTTTTTAAAGAAATTACGTTACTATTCTTGAAAACTGCTAGTCAAATCTAACATCAAAGCTCAATCTAAAAAGCCAGCTAAATCCGAGAAAAAGACTTAAATTTAAAGGGCGAGTAGTAGTTTTTTCTCCTGAATGAGTGGTTAATACCCTACTTAAGCAGAGAAAAAACAGGGTTTGGCGTAGAGTCCTTTTTTTGAAAGTTTGAAAATTACGCATTACCCTATCAGTACAATATATGATTAATAATATGGAACAGTTAAATCCAGCATTAGCTGGGCCACTGGTTGACTCCCAAGCTACCGTGGCGCAGATGCGAGGATGTGATACTCCTAATCAATAGGTCGGATTTTCAAATCCGGAACATATAAATAGTTTATTTTTTTTTGGTCGAGTTTTTGCTGCATAACATTGCAATTTGATAGAAACTTGCTGCTTTTTTTGTGGCTTGTATTACTAAAATTACAAGCGGTCGTGGAGCAGATATGAGAACGTGATAATCCTTATCTTAAGAAAAAATTTTTAAAGTGTATTTTTAATCTTTTCCGTTTTGCCTGTTTAGAGCTCTTTTTTGCATTTTTCTCGCTTGTATGCGAAGCGCTGCTTCGCCTGTGTGAAGTTACATTTTTTTATTTTGGAAAGTTCTTTTCAACTTTTGCAAAACTATTGTTCCCAAAAAGTTTTACTGATTTCCAAAAAAGGGGTAATAGTTGAAAAACTTTCTACTTCCCTGCGTGCCTGTATACTCCCCTAGAGTTTCTTTTTACTTGACCCCTCTGTCTACAGCCTTCGATAAATCTGTGAGGGAATAATTGACCCATATTTTTGATTTTTTTCGCTTCCTCAAAAAATCTCCCTCTTAAATCGGATTTTTTTTTTCAATGAATAGAATTTTTTTGAAAAGCTCCCCTGCATAAGCGGCTATGCCCAACTTTTTTTGTACGTCAAGTTATGGCACTCGGAATGTTCAAATTTTTGATTTTCGACCATTTTGTGAATCTTTTTGACTTGTCTCGAAAATAAACTTCTCAAATCTGATATTAAGGGTTTAAGCGAGATAACGTGTAGTTTTTGTGGTCACTCACAAAAACTTTTAAACAAAAATTTATCGCACTCGGAAAAGTCAAATTTTTGATTTTGCCTTTTTTTTTTCATTTTTTGAATATTCTCAAAAACTACCCTACGCCCTGCCATATCTGAGATTTTTTGTTCAAAAGAAAATACAGGTTATATGAATCCTTTCTGCATAAGCGGCTAGGCTCTATTTTTTCACACAAAGCTATGATTCTCGGAAATGTCAAATTTTTAATTTGTTCACCGTTTGTAGATTTTTCTTGCTAACTATCCTGCCAAATCTGATAGCTTAGGGTCAATAGAAACAAGAGGTTTTTTGAAGCCTACCATATTAATTGTCTCTGCCCAGTTTGCTTAAGAAAAAGTTATGGCTTTCAAACAAGTCAAAGTTTTGAAACTTTGAGTTGTTTGGAAACATATTGACTTTACGCGAAAACGACCGGGCCAGTTTTTAGGTTGTTTTCAACCGAGAAACTCAGTTTTGGGAGTTTTTCCTTCTTGAGCGGCCACAACCTCCTTTTTGTAGAAAAAAGTAATCGATTTTGGAAATTGTTTAGACCCTTTCATAGAGTTTTTGACCGTTTTTATAGAAACTTTTCGAATTTTCTTGAGACTCTGAGACGAAATATTCTAGTGAAAGAACCGGTTAAAATAATTGAAACTGCAGAAGCGGCAACCTCTATTTTTTTGTTATACAATTTTTGTCTCTTTGGGCAAAATCCATAATAATTTTTTACTCTTCTCGCTCCTTTGAGTAGAGAAGCAACCAAGGTGTTGGGCAAAGTCCAATTTTTGAAGTCCCATTTTTGTCGCATCAGTATAGCAAATTCATTCATTTTTAGAACTTTACCTTCAGCTTTACCTGGACTGCTAGTAGTTTTTATCGATATATAAGAAACTTTGGTTCAATTTTTTTCAACATCTAAAATATTCTTTCGACCTATGTTTTTTTATGTTTGTGTTGTATCACAAGTGGTGCGAAGCTCCTTTCCGCCTCTGTCTGGTATGAGCAGTTTTATCGTTCATGGTTGCTATTTATGGTGTCTATGGCTGCCATCAACAGTTGACTTTATTTTTACATCATAAATATGCTGTAAGTTAAAATTGAAATGAGATGTTTGCTTTTTGAAAAATTGTTTGCTTTCAATTGCGAGAGCAAGTGTACGTGTTGTAGGGAACTAGATATTTTTCCTATAGACAACTTAATGTAACTCTGTAAGAAATACGTGCTGCTGTTACTTTCACGTGCAGGCTGCGCTGACATGCTCAATTTCTTGAAATTTCAAATAAAACTACCGTTGGTTCAATGTAGGTAGTGAAATTTTTTTTTGATTAAATCCTAAAAATTTTTCGGGTTCGTGGTTTTAGTCCCAAGTTCCATTAGGTAAATTATCGTGTTCTTTTGAAACGCAATTTTTATTATCTGGCACGCTTTTTAGCAGCTTAATTTCCAATGGATTTGTTTTTAATTTTAATTTAAACCGTTTATACTATACTTGAAACTAGTTTTTATTTTATAAATTAAATTTCTGATTCGTAATAATTTTTAAAATAGACATAGCGAAAACTTGAGTATAGTTCGTGTTGATTTTTTTTTGTTAATAAGAGTCGATGAGCGTTGTTCAGATAATTTTTTTTCGAAATTTGTTCAGGCTTCTCTTAGTTCAACCTAGTTTTTCATGGTTGACTTTAAATGTCTTTTTAAGTTCAGTCCTTTTCCTCTTTTAAAATGAAGGCAAACTCTACCATCGATCAGCAAAAGTGTAAAGGTCACAAAAAATGTGATCGACTTCTAGTTTCGAAAGTGGAATTCAATTTTCAGATTTCCCAGCGAAATAAAAGTTTTACTTATTGATCGAGTTTTCTCAAATTGGGTTAATTTTATCAAAAAGTCTTTTTTTTGAAATTCGAAAATTGATTTTTTTTTAAAGTCAGTATATTTTTTGTTCACTTGCGTGCATTGACTTTTTTTCCAACTATCTGTTGGCTATGTTTTTTTTTCAGGAAAAGTCTTAAAAATTGGCGTAGCTCAATTTTGATTTTTTTGCAGATCGACTTTGGATTTTATTTAAGTTCAGCTCATTTTCTTTGTTAAAAATGAGCAATTTGGTCCTCTATCGAACAAAAAAATTTATGTCACGCAAAATGTGATCGACTCCTATTGCGAAAGTGAATTTCAGATTTCCAAGCGGAATAAAAATTTATCTATTGATCCAGTTTTCTCAAAACGTGATAATTTAATCAGAAAAAGGTCAAACTATTTGTTTTAGAACTTTGAACAGCTTTAATTTCATCTTTACTTTTTTTGAATTTCGTAGCTTGAATTTATGCGTTCATTGACTCGCTTCAACTTTCTGTTGGCATCAATTTTTTTTCGGCTTATGTTATATCGACAACTTATATTGCTTCGTTTTGAGGCGAAACATTTTCTTATGCTTTCGTGTGTTTCAGGAGGGATGGTTTGTGAAAAACATTAAATTTCGAAACTTATAGCTTAAAACTTTTCATGACTACAGTTTTGTTTTCGTTTTTTTTCGCCTTAGTTGCTTATGTTTTTCGAGATTTTTTAAGGCTGTTTCTGAACATCATCCGAAACAAAGGTGTTAGAATTTTTTAATATCGCAAGTGTTTAGATGATCCGCTTTGTCTCTGTGTTAAATTAACCTTCATTTTGACTTCAGTATGAGAACGTTGGTTGTGGCAAGGGTGGAGTGACTTGTGCTAAAGATGTGTTAATCACCATCTCCAACGTGACAATTAAGCTGATCAGAGGAAGAGAAGTGACCTATAACTCACACGATCTCCAGCTTCCATTCATGACTGAGAGCATCCAGATTATGCAGCAGGGACTCTTCACTGTCGTCATGGTCAAGACAGACGAGGTGGAGTTCACACTGGAATGGGACGGAAGTTAGTATTAATTCAGCGGTAATAGCAACAATGTGGTCATTTTGAAACAATTAACTAGTTTCAAAATAAAAGCAAGGATAGCCGGGCCGGTTACTGTGCATGTAGCACAGATTGTTTTTTTTTTGTCAAATTACTGTCGTTTTTCTACGTGGTGTGATAAAAAAGATCTGAACGACAAAAAATAGAACTTAGGTATATTCGAGACTCATAGTAAAGTAAGCCAATTTTAAAACATCATTTTGTGTAGAAAACTTGACTAGAAAAACTTTTAAAAATCATAGAAAAAGTTCACAGTAAGATCTGAATGAAAAAAAATAGGTGTAATCGACAGTCATACTCAAATAGGCCAATTGGAAAACAGTTTGGGTTGAAAAAAAACGAAAAAAAATCGTAAAATAATATATGAAAATTTTTACACATTTTTTACACATTTTTTACAGAATTTTTTCGAATTTGAAGTTTTTAATTTCCAAAATAGCGCTAAAAAACTCCCAAAAACGAACTTAACTCAAGTATAACTCAGTTTTTGCGGCTTAAATTAAACATAAATAAGCTACTGTAAACCTACACGCTCACCTTATCATCTTGAAATTAGATCAAAAATCAACAATTTAGACTCGTTTTTCTCGGCACGGAAAATTTTTTAAATTTTGTTCGAATTACGACAGAAAGGGTTTCAATATGATATATCACTTGGCCCATTCCAATGATTATTTGCGGTACCTGATTTTGCGTTTTTCAAATGGTCAGGACAACAACTTGAATTCTTTTGAAATCACAATTAAGACAAAGTTGGTGGAGCTTATGAAGGTTTAGAAAAAGCGGAAGTTATTATTGTCAGTTTAAAGATAGATATGCAAATTTTCCAGTTTGACAACCAAAACAATTTTTTTGAAACATTCAATTTTTTGTCTGCTCTAATCAGTGCTGATCATTTAAATGTTTGTACATCAAAATTCAACAGCTGTTATAAAATTTTTCAACAGATCTGTTTAACACGCTATTTTGCTTAACAAAATATCTATCTTTTTATAGTCGGTTCAAACATAGATATGAGTTTTTTCTATTTGAAAACCAAATATATTTTTTGAAATGCTCTTATTTTTGTCTGCTTTAATTAAGCCTGGCCATTGAAATATTTTCTGATCAAAACTCAACAGCTTTCTTTCAATTTTTCTATAGATTTGATCAACAGACGCAATCTAGTTTAACAAAATAGAATAATTTATACTTATTTGAGCTTTGATTTGGTCAACCTAACACTCAAAGAATGACGTCAATTCTCCACCAAATGGAGCTGCTCCAGAAAAAATGCAATCAGCAGTAGCAGCGGAGGCAAGGATAGAGAATGGAGTTCCGTGATTTTGTTACTTCTTAGCTAGCCAGATCTGTAACCAAGACTGATAATTTACCAGATTTTATTCAAAAGCGTTAAGAGATTCCGTATTTAAGTTTCAATAAACTCTAAATTATATGTACGGAAAAGCATTCATACAAATTGATAAACTCATGATATACGCACTTAAGCATATTTTCTTTTTGTAAGGTCAATTTAATTTCATTTGCTTAATAAAAAACAAACTACGCTCTGCAGTAACGAAAGTGGAAATCGCGCAAAAAATCGTAATTGACTTTCAGTTTTGAACATTGAGTTTTAATTTTTGGAATTGCTGGTTGAATAAAAAACACTTGTTCGTCCATTTTTCTCCAATTGAGTTTTACTTTTCTCCAATTGAGTTTTTAATGAAATTCGAAGAGCTTTAACACAATATATTTCTCCACAGCAATCGAATGTTTCGTATTAATGACCATTTTTTTAAACTATGATGGCAGTATTTTTGTTTGTTAAATATTCACATATCTTTTCACTTTCACTTGCGAAAGCAAGTGAACTGTTATCGGCGACTAAACTTTTCCTGTAACAGATTGAACTGGTTTTTTTTATGGAACCCCAAAAACTTTCGGGTCCGTTCATATTTGGTCTAACTGTTAAGCTCGTGCTTTTGAATCCAAAGGACGGGAGTTCTAGTCCTGGTCGGACTCTGTTTTTCTCGGTACGCATGAAATGAAAATTTTTTCTGGGAAAACTTGAAATGTTGGACTATCGTTGAATTTATTAGTTTTTATCGGTGGGCTTAATTTCCAAAGTGTTGAGTTTTCTTTTGCTTTAACTAATTTAAGCAATACTTAAAAGTCATTCTGTTTTTTGTAAAACTATCATCTCTGATTTTTTGTAAAACTATCATCTCTGTAAAACTATCATCTCTAAAACTATCATCTCTGAATAATTTTTTTTGTGTCTTTTTTCTCGCCTAAATTGTTTCAGCTTCACTTGTATAGTCTTAGCCATCTTATGTTTAACGTTTAAAACAGTTTAAAAAATTATGCTTTTTTGTTTTAGGATGGGTGAAGTGTTCAAGAGATTGGTTTCAAAATTTTATGACAAAATTAATTTTTCATGGTGTTTGATGGCTATACGCGTGTCCACTCAAGTAAACTCGGCTAATTTCCGCGCCGTATAAGACTATGAATGCCAATTCAATACATTGCGCATCTTGACTGTGTTTTCATGAAATTGAACATCAGTTGAGACAAACTTATGAAATTTCGTATTTTTTTTTTGAACTTTCAGAGTATTTTTTCTTCTATTGTTTTTCGTCTCATTTTCTATTTGCTAGCTTTTGTGTAAAGTCTGTTATTTAAATAGTCAGCACTGTCTTTTGTGATGAAAAAGGAATGGCTCAACATAGCAAAAGCATTTTTAAATCAATTTTTTCGCTTGAAAACGCATAGTTCTTTCTGTTCTCTTCTATACGCTTGTGTTGAAATACAGTCGTGTTTTTTAAAACCTAACTCACTGAAGTTTGCTCTCAATTTATTTGGCGAGCGGTTTAGTAGCATGTGGTTCATGTGGTTAGAAGTGCGCTGGAATATACTATTAGAAGATGAGTAGAACCTATAAGACAGCTAGGAAAATTGTCGTAGTCAAGAAGACGAATAGTGCTTTAACCGGAGGTCCACGGTTTTGAATCCTGTAGTCAGCATTTTTATTTTTCAAAGCTTTTATCGAATTATTGTTCCGACTTTCGATACGAAAGTAACGCAATATTTGTGCTCGGGGTGGGTTTTTTTTCTTCAGACAAATTTCGATTTTTTAACTAGCCATTTTTGACGGAATTTTTTTATATCATTCAAAAGGTATTGTTGTCCTGAGCTTAAATTTGAAAAGATATTTCACCTGTGATCGTTTTTTGTAAAGTTATGGGGTTTATAATTGCCAATTTGGGACAATTAACGCGCGATTGCCTGCTTTGGTTTTCTTTGCAAATAGCAGCCCGCACTGACAAACTTGAAATTGAAATAGTTCTAAATCGATTTTTATACAGATAAAATACTTTATAGAAATTGATTTACGATAGCTCATTTACATCCGTAAATCGATTTAAACTGGATTAAATGGTTTTTTACGGTAGAAAAAAAATCAATTTAATGTATAAAAAATAGATTTAAATCGATTTGAATGGTTTTTTGCAAGGAAAGGAAAATCTCAAAACAAATTGATTTACATAACTGTTTTTTTTTGGCTTCGGAGCTGGCGCAAAATGTTCTACTCAAGAAAATCTCAAGGAGAGCTACAGAGAGCAAGTTTTGCTCAAGGAGAGTTTTGTACCGCAAACTTTTGCGTGTTAGGGATTCCCTTTCAAATTTTACATTCTAATTCCCCAGTTAATGAGAAGTAAAACTATACAAATTTTTTTCAAAAGTCATTTTTATTATCAACGTTTTAGGCTCAATATTGTTAGGCAAATACCATATAATAAAAATATCAAATAAAAAAAATCATTTTTTGGTGCAGAAAAGTTAGATATTTGTTATTCTCATAGCTTTTTTTCAGACCAAACATCAAAACGAAAACTTAATTGAAAATCATATGTTAAAATTTTATTTTTCTATTTTTCTCTTCCACTATTTTTCTATTGTTTGATAGTTTACAAAATCTGAACATAATCTATATATAATCTGTATAAAATGAGTATACAAAAAAGTAGTTTAAAATCTATTTAGAACCGATTGAAATTGATTTTTAAGATACATTTTTGTAATACCTCTAAATCGATTTTGAATCGATTCAGATCGAATTTTTTAAAGTCTCTTCTACATCATCTGTATAAAATTGAGTGCAATTCTTTGCCAATACGGGAGCCGCTTTGCCTCTATTGATTTGTTACTGTATAGTGTTATTAAACGAAATTAATTTTCACCTATTTAGGTGATATTTTTTTTCGATGGCTTTTTGTTAAAGAAAAATTCGAAAAGTTATAAGTTTTGTTTTGGTAGTTTGAGTTCTGGTTTCTTTATAAGTTGAGCTCAAAAATTTAAGAGCTTCTCTAAAACAAGCACCAATTGCTTAAAAAATTTCGTTTTTTTAAAGATTTTCGTACCTTCGGAATAGAATGAAATTGAGTTATATCCAAACAGTGTCCATCATGCAAGATTCTTTTTTCAGAAACGAGGATCTACATCAAAATGCCACAAATCATGCAAAACCGTTTCGAAGGACTGTGTGGTAACTTCAACGGGGACTCGACTGACGACTTCACGGGAGCCGACGGACTCAGAACCGACAACTACATCACATTCGCTAAGTCTTTCGGAGCATCAAGCCAATGCAGGAACTTGGATATCGCTGTGCCTTCTGAAAATCCCTGCGAGGTAAAAAAAACATCCCCAATCGCCTCCCCACACCTCGGCACCTAAAACAACTTTTTACTTAAATTTTGTACCTCTGAAAACGACAAAGAGCTTTCTTACGTTTAGCATTTGTTAACTTAACTTATTGGAACAAGCATAGCTGGTTGCTGTGCAAGTAGCACAGAATGTTCCGAGCGCTTTCTTGGAAAACTACCAAAAAAGACCATATTCGTTTTTTTGTGAGTGGTGTGATGAAAGGATATGTGCGAAAGCCTAATTTTTCGGCATTTCGGATAGTCATAGGCATATTGTACAACAATCTTCTTCGAAAAATGGCTAATAAAAAGAAAACAAAATTCAGTTTTTTGCAAAAATTTTTTGAAAACGTTTATTGCCAAGATGGCTCTAAAACTTCGAAAAATAGTTTGACTAGATTTTTCAGGGCTTGAATAAAAAATCCCGGGCTTATTTTGCGACTAATACTGAGGCTATCTTTCTATAAAAAGCCTGCGCGCTCGCTTTAATCGCTCGAAGTTGGACAAATACTCAAACGTTTTATACCAGTTTTTCTCCACATTGGGATAACCTATCGGAAATTTTTTAATGTCGTTCGAATCACGACTGTAAGAGCTTCAATGCGATACATCACTCGATTCAGTTCAATAAGTATCTGTGGCACCGTTTGTGTGTGGAAAACAAAAAAAAAAGAAAAAACTAAAACACACCCGAATACAAGTTCCTCCACATTTTCAATGGTCGGAACAATTATGTCATACGTGTATACAGGTATCTGTTGCGACAATTTTGCGTAATGGACGAAGCAGACGAGTAGTTGAATATGTATATGATTGCAGAATGATGTTGTAAAATCGGATAAACATGCGCTATTTTTTAAGGAGAATAATTAAACAAAAACCTTCTTTTGATCAGATGAATAAAATACTTCATGGATTTTGTTGGCAAAAACTAGTAAGTTATGTTCGAGAATTAAATCTGACCCGCTAAAAATTGCCGCAAGCGTTATCAAATCGGAACGTAGACTTTTCCCATCTAAACCTTTAATTATTCCGACTTTCGAAGAAAACGGAATATTTATGCTCGGTGTGATTTTTTTTATTCAGTCGATTTTCGTCGATCGAAATAATAGTTTTCGACAAAACTTTTTTATACCCCATTGAAGGTATCAACTTCTTGAGCTCAAATGTAAAAATATTTTTTTACCTCAGATTATTTTTTGTAAAATTCAGGGGGTTTGTGTTAGTTGAAAATTGCCAAATTGGCCATGTTCTGGACTAAATTATGCGCGCTTTGAAGAATTTATTCAAATTGCTGAGAGCGTACCGCGAATTATTTATGCGTGGCGAATTATCCCGCACAACAAAATCGTTCCAAATCAAATTGAGGCTAGCTAATTGGTCGTAACAATTTCGTAAATTTCACTTTGATATTGTCCAAAAATTTATAGGTTTTCATTATTTTCTTTTCCCAAAAACTATTCGATTTCAATTAAGGGACAGTCGGAACATTCAGGGCTTTGCCCTGATATACGAGCAGTCTTGTCTAACTTAAGTACTATATAGTGTTCTCAAATATGTACTCTCAACAACCAACAGACATATTTTGAGTATATTTGCATTTGAATGCGCGTTATATCTGAAATTTCTTTCTGCCTTGCTTTTAAGTTTACCATCTCCCAGTTGGCTTAAAGTCTGTTTTTTTTCTATTTATTCGGCTAAAAAGATTTCGGAGTGTAGTATCTTTTGCTTTCGATACAACAATTTTTAGTCCAAAAGTCGAAACTTTTTGTCCTGTTCGCGATGATTTTGGTGAATTCCAATAGGTTCCAATATTCATAGCTCCCAAAATGAAAATCAGTCGCATAAGTCCCGAAATTTTATCTTATTGAATTCTGATTGGTTGAAATTTGAGCCAACTAATTTTTGGATCGATTGTATACTGTTCAAGCAGCATAAACTCAAGCTGCAGAATAGTGACCGCAGCAGCCGCGCCAACGTGTTGCGAGCTTGCCACTAAATGGTACGACTCTATACGAAATTTAGAGCCGGTTATCGCCGCAAAGAGACCTTAAACCAAGACTCGGCTAATTTAGTCTTTTGACCAATTGAAAAGATTTGGGACTTATGCGACTGCTTTTTTATTTTGGGACCTATGGGACTGAATTTTCCTTTTGGGACCTATGAATACGCACCATGATTTTATGGCAGCCGAATCACCTCACTCACGAACTCCGTTTGAATTGCGAAACAACGGCTTAAATTATAAGTGTTTCTCTTTGTGATCCGGCTAGATTCTTTCAATAAATAGTTTAAATGTCAACAATTCAGCCATGAATCTCAAGTAGTTACAGATAAAACGTTAATAAACTGAAGAAAAATTCTGTTCATTTCAATGATTGAAAACTAAAAGTTGCTTGCTTTTGTCCCTGGACTGTCATACGAAGTTGCTTAACTGCTGAGCCGCTCTCAATTTGGTTACGAATGGTCTAAATACTCTCAAATCTGATCTTTGAACATGACAGCATGTTTTCGTGTTCTGCGTAGGTGGACGGCGGAATTCGTGAAACGTGGGCAAAGTCTCAGTGCAGCTTCTTCCGAGAGGACGCCTTCCTCCCTTGCGTGGCACTGCTTGGAAGGGAACCCTTCGAGGACGACTGTAAGTCGGACGCGTGTGCCTGTGTCGAGTCGGGAGACATCTCCTGCTTCTGCACCGCTGCCGAGAACTATGCCAAGCTGTGCAAGGAGGCCGGCATCATTGTCGATTGGCGAACCAATGAGCGATGCCGTGAGTCAATTGATGTGATTCGAAGTCATAGGTAGCTTGAAGCCATCCAACTGTAACAGTCACCTTAATGTCCGGTCAAAATCTAAAGCGTTCTCTCAGAAACTTGCCTGTTGCTCTAGTTTTCTGAAATTGGCTTAATTCTATCATTAAATTGTCAATCAGAAAACAATCGAGAAATAGAGAGAGTTTTAAGGTGGTATGGCATTTTTTCTCTGAAATTCGAAGTTTAAGATCATTTATCCACGATGGATTGGGCCAACATACAAGCTGTACAGCTCATCACGGCGAACCGCTGTTGTGCCCCTGCTTATGAACTACATGCAATTTTTTTTAACTTTTCTGGGCTGGGTAATGTTGCCTCACCCTCAAGCAACGAGCACGGATCATGGCGGGCCTCGACCTTTCGATTGAGAGGCGGAGACGTAACCATTTCACCACTGCTCCCATTAGTTTGAAAACAAAATCATTTTTAAATTTATTTGAAGTCGTTAACATTTTGCGAAGTGTGATGGCTATCTCTTGCTTTGCTTCCAGCCTACTGTTGCGACAATACTGAGGAGGAGTTCTCTTATTGTATGGGGAGGGAGAACTCGTGTAAGTACAAGAATGACACAGACATCAAAACTCTACGATCTATGGACTGCTTCGAAGGATGCACTTGTAAAGCGGGATTCTTCAGAAACGAAGGTAAATAACATGCGGACCCACTAAACTATCGCTTTGTTGGGGGATATCGTTTACTTATTTTTGAGCTTCATTTTTCCCGAAAATCAAAATCCAGCATTTTGCCTATTGACTTAAACATGATCATGACTAGGGTGCTTTGGTCATTTTAGGGTGGGGCTTTGTTCATGATGCACAATTAGTAGTCTACGTGCTAATGATATTTGGTTGTATCCGAAAACCGCAGCATTTAAAAAAGCGAAAATTTTTGTATTCCTGGAAAGTAATCACGTGTGTTTTAATACATATTCGAGAAACTTGATATTGTGAAAGAAAGCGGGGTAAATCAAAATCATACTAAGCGTCCTAATTGACGCATTTCTGGATAAGTTGCGAGGAATGATTACAATTTTCATGTATTAAGAAGAGGATAATGAAAAGTTAATTCTTTTGGGCTATAGCCCTCTAACTGTCAAATTGAAAATTAGAGCAGATTTGACGAATCCGATTGGCTAAACTAGATTCTCTGGAAAACTAATGAAACACTCTTTATACATTTAAAGTAGAATCAAATTTGGGTGATGAATTGAAAAATAATTAAATTTTCAGCTGTTCAACAAGTTTTGTGTCTGTTTTCAGAAACAGGAGAGTGCGTAGAGGAAGAATCGTGTCCTTGTTACTACATTGACGACAATGGGTTCAACCAAGTTGCGCAGCCGGGCGAGATGGTCAAACGGTCAAATTGCACCATGTGGTTAGTCTTCAACTCATTCATTAATCCTGTCATTGAAACTTTCCTTTTTTTGATCGCTGATTCGAGTAATCCGGGGTTTAAGGTTTTCACTTTTTAACTGCTGATTTTTTGTTCACAATCATATCATATCATGTCAGTTGCAATTTCATTGATGCAACCGCAGAATGGCCAACGCTGCCTCGACGTACAAAAGCGTCTCGTTGAATTCTTGGTTTGAAACTGGACATGACTTACTGAACGACATAATTGGCCTTCTACTACAATTCCGGGAAAAACCTGTGGCCGTATCGGTGGATATTGAAGGCTTGTTTAGGCAAATAGGTATTAAAGAGGAAGATCAAAATGCGCTTCGCTTCGCTTGATTTACCAAAAACGGTATGAAGCAATACCAATACACGCGACTTATCTTTGGTCCAAAATGCTCATCATCCCTAGCTATTTCGCGCTTCATCAAACAGCTGCCGATTACTGCGTAACCAAGCCCAAAATTGCCCAACTGCTGCATGAATGTTTCTAAATAGACTACTTTGTTCATTCGTTGAGAACGAAAAATGAAATTACAGAGTCTCTACTCTACAACTAAAATCGTCCCTAAGACAGGGGGATTCAACCTAACCAAGTTCGTATTTAACTTTCACAACGTCATCTAGTCAATTGATGGAAGTGAAAAATCCTACTGATGATAGAGTGCCTTGGCTTCTAGGCATCAAATGGGATACAACTGACGATACGATATTCGTGCAACCAACAACCAAATTACCTGATACTACAACCTCTACACTCCCAACAGTCCTATCTACAGTAGCAAAGGTTTTCGACCCTCTAGTTATCTTTGCGCCTTTTGCCATACAGCTTAAAAACCCTCATCAAAACCTGTCGAAGTCTGGTATTTCGTGGACGAACCCCTGCCCAGTGACTTTGTTCCAATGATCGACAAATAGGTCGACCAATGCAAACAAGGACCCCTGTGATGCTGCCGCGCTTACTTGGACCACAACTGTCACTTAGTGACATACAGCTTATTGTGTTTGACGACGCTTCGCAAGAAGCCATGGTTACTTGTATCTTCTTCCGAACTGTAGGTAACTCTGGCATACGTTTACGTTCTACTTTTTGATTGGCAGAACAAAGGTAGCTCCACTGAACAATGAAAGCATTTTAATTTTGGAACTTCAAGCCGCCTTTATGAGCGCACGGCTGTGCAAGTTCACGGCTAATGAACTGCGATTGAAACCCCAGTCAACTCCTAATTGGAGAGATAGCATAACAGTTTTGTCCTAGTTTGGATTGACCGGTAAAACGAAATTTTACTGCGCAAACAATCCGTGAAAATTTTACTTGGTGCGAAGCCGAATATATCCTTTAGTAAACTCAAACTAGAAGACTATGCTAAGCGTGGAATTGAACACAAAGACGTAAGCAAGCTCCAGAATCTCTACTCATTATTGAGGCTATACAGGGCTGCTGCTGGTCCAAATTTTCTCTGGTGCCGTATAGTTTTTCAATTCTGCAATCAAAATCTTTGCAAAACAAAATTTGCCCGAGTTGATCTAGTTTTTTTCAGTTAAGTGACCACACGCTCATTGTAATGTCGTTGACGTTATCATTATCAAACTTTCCATATTTGAATATCATTCAGAAGTCCTTTGTTCATGTTATCTAATGTATTTGCAGATATTGTGTTAATTTCAATCTGTTTTTTGAAAACGGTTTCCAGGTTTTCTGTTCATGCCTTTTTGTATAGCAAGCGGTGCAAAGCTCCGCTTTATTTGCGGAAAACAGTGCCATATGGAGGAGCTTATGATAAAGAGGTCGAATCTCTGAGGATATGATTTGGGCTTCTACCCTCACCTTATAAATCCGCTACTGGTCCAAGGTCGCCTAAATCATCGACCAAACAGCAAACATTTTCGGACTGGCATTTTGAAATTTCAAGAAATTGGCCATTTGCTTCGTTATTTCGTCTGTGTAATCATTCCATCTGTCAACAATGTGTTTTGTTTTCCAGTACATGCAAACAAGGGTCGATGAACTGTGTTGAAATTGAAAGTTGTTGTGTGACCGGAATCCTCTGTGGGGACATTTGCCTCCCAGAAAACGTCTGGTGCGACGGTGTCTGTGATGGCCCAAAGATCAATGGAGAGTGTTGCGACGAAATCGGAGACCACTGCAAAAAGAGTAAGTCTTGCCTGATTTTCTAGGTCCACTAATTTTCTAGATCCAGGATACCCTGACTGGTTTGAAGACCCTCCGAAGTTTAAAAAAAACATGTGTGCTTTTCTCTTAAAAACTCGCGTACGGTGTGAAATTTAAAAGTTAGAGCTTTTTTGGTGTTGAAAAAGATTTTGGATCATAAGTTTTATCGACTGGTGCACCTGGCGCGTTATTTATACGCAGCTTCAATTGCGGTCAAGAGTTTATTTAAAATTTGGTTCATAAAAGTCAGTAAGTAACTGCATTTTTTATGGAGCTTGATAGTTTTTTTTGACTAAAATAGTCTATTATTTTTGTTGACAGGCAAATAAATAACTGATTCGAAAATAACATAACTAAAAACAAATAACTGATTCGAAAATAAAATAACTAAAAACAAATAACTGATTCGAAAATAAAATAACTAAAAACAAATAACTGATTCGAATTGGTCTCATTAGTAAGATTTGCTATGATTTAGACGGGACATGTGACGACTGTGCCCCCGGCCAGCTTTGTTGTGGGGACGACTCCAAGGAGTGCTATGATCCAAAAGAAGAATGCGATGGAATGGTCTCTTGTCCAGGGGGCGGAGACGAGGTCAACTGCGGTGAGTTGCGTGATCGATCAATTACAAAAAAAATAATCGTTATCGTAGCAATAAGCAATGATGCTTTTGTTTTTTTTTTCCCCAGTTTTTCCACTTCTTTTTTGAATTATAACTTCGTTCTAAGTTCTGTTTGCACTTTTTTAAGCGTCATGGTGCACTCATCCTATAATTGTTGTATTTGAATATAGTTTGAATATTGAATTTATTTAGATTTTTTGAATTTTTGAAAAATGTCTAGCAAAGATTGAGTTTTTGACAAAACACTACCAAGGATACTGTTCAGGCCAGTAAGACTATAGACTTACTTGGCCCTATAGACTTACTTAGTGACTTGAAAATAAATAATGACGGTGTAGGTTTTATTTTTCAATGATTCATAACATGGTCTTGGTAGGATGCACGTGCCCTGATGGCTATACGATCTGTGAAGCGATTAACTACAACGAGCAGGAGGGATGTCCGCCCTGTTTCAGAGAAAGTGATGTCTGCGATGGCACCTGCGACTGTCCCGAAACAGACGGCGAGTGTGCCGACGAAAAGTTGGTCTAATACATTTACATTTTTTCAAATGATGCACTTCATTTAACCTAATGAGTAGATTGGCATTTTTTCAAGAAAATGATTATTTTTGGGAGCCGTATTTGTCGAGTGGGGTAATTGTATATTTTCAATAGCCTCAATTTTCACTGCGTGGCACAAATTTTTAGACACCCCGACAAGAAAGTAAAGCTTTTTTAAAAAGTCAATGGACGTAGTGAAAATCTTTTTAGGTCGAGATGATTTTTTTGTTTTTCTTACAAAGTAGTCTTAAAATTTGATAACGCCAACAAATTCAAAAACTTAGAAAAAAAAGTTTAAATTGATTACATTTTGAAATTATAAGAAGAACAAGTTTATTGAACCCGTGGTTGCGTGCTAATGGAGGTGGGTTTTAGGGTTGAGATTCTAACGCTAAACTTGACCTTCCAGAAACTCTGAGTTTAGGAGATATGGACGATTTTACGATTTCTGAAAAAAATTCAAAAACTTAGAAAAAAACCAAATCGATTACATCCTCAAATTATTAGAAGAAAAAATTTATTGAACCCTTGATGTCATATTAATGGGGGTGTATTTTAAGATTGAGGCTCTAATGCTAAAACATGACCTTACAGAAACTCCTAGCTTAGGAGAAATGAACGATTTTTGAAAAAAAGTTAAAAAACTTGGAAAAAAATCTAAATAATTTGCTATTTAGTTGTTTTTTTCTTTCTTACCGGCGATTGCCTGCCTACGAAGGTATAATTTAGAATTTTGATTAGACTGGTAAAACTTGACCGTCCAAATGCTCGTAGCTTAGGAGTTACGGATGAATTTACGAATTTTTACGAATATGGATGAATTTACGAATTTCTCCGAGTCTCATTTTAAAAATTACTAATAACAATGAATTGCTAAATTTATGTAATGATTGGCCGGATAAATTTATTTCTTCTTTCTTACAATTTACGACCATAAATCAACTAATCGAGGGCAGATCGTTCCTTTAATTGTGTCTGTTGGAGCTTGCACCTCCCTATCTACTTTTTTTGCTATTTAGGGATTGTTGTCCGGAGACATACTACCAGTGCTACACCCCCAAAGGTGAGTTCGAATGTCTCCCAGGAGGGGCCAAGTGTGACGGACACTGCGACTGTGCCGACTGCAGCGACGAATCCGACTGCTGCTCCAATGTTTGTTCCAATAACTCCACTTACCGATGTGAATTCGACAGGGCACAGGTTTGTGTGTTTTTTTCCACTCCTTTTTCCACTTTGTGTGTTTTTCCAATTTTGCCAAGATCAGTTTAACAGTTCAAAGTATCCTTTTTTAAGTGGGAGCCTTATTAAGAAACCTTGTAAAGATCATACAAGATTTAGCCAAGTGAGCATGCATGATTATTTGCGAAGATAACCTTGATGCAAGGAAATGTTTAAAAGATCTTGGCAAAACTTTTCAAGGATCTTGGTGGCCTAAAACTTTTCATGAAGTTTTTCATCTCAATCTTGAGACCATCACCAGACGGGTTTAAAAAATACTTGGGTACAACTCTGATAGACAGGTCTCTAGAATAAGCTATGATAGATTTTAAGAATCATTGAATGTAGTGAAGACTCTTACATAGGTCTTAATGGTTTTTTGTTTGTTTTTTTTTTGCTGAGAAAAAGTCTTTCAAAATGCTCTAATAACTTCAGTTGTGCCTTTATACATATCAATTCATTTATGAATGCCCGCAGGTATACATGCACTTTTTGAATTCAATTCAAGTTCAGTTGCTAAAATGAAGACAAGTTACGCTCTCCAATAGCGAGTGGACATGGCGCGAAAAAAGGTTTTTCGAAAGTGGAATTAAATTTTGAGAGATCCCAACGGAATTAAAAATTAACCCAATGATCAATTTTTTTCACATTGGGTTGATTTTATATTTTTATCAAAAACGTGTCAATCATGAATAGTTTTGAAATTCAAAGAAATTGAAGGCAATTTAATTTTTTCTTCGACGTAGTTTCGACTCAGCTACTTTTTTGTCAAAACTATTATAAATTCGTAAAATTCGAAGACCTTTAAAATACTTTTCCCCCTGAAATTCGACTTTATCTTGCTTTCTGAGCCCACTTACTTAAAATTTGCACATAACAAGTGTCCATTGAGTTTTTAAGAACTCTTCGGATGTTCAAAAGTTACTGTTTTATTGGGAGGCGTGGAGCTGATTTTGGTTTAGAGCCATCATTTGATAATTTTGCAGGGATTCGATGAAAATGTGTGTCCTTGCGTGGAACTGGGCTGTGGATTCTGTACCACTGGCAACTATAGCGTATGCAAGGCTGGGGAATTCAAGAAGTACTGCGAAGTCGATGGTAGGTTAAAATTTAAGACAAACATTAAAAATGAGCGATTTTTTTGCATCTAGTAAATTATTTCCCTGTACAGATAAAAATGGGGGTTTCATAGCAAGGTGCAAATTTTTAGATACGTAACCATTCAATTAGTGCTTTATAGGTGTGGAAATTCTGTTCAATAGGTACCTTTGAGGGTTTGTTAGAGATCCCTTTTATAACTTAAAACCCCCTTCTTAATGAAAATGAGCACTTCTTTATGAAAATAATACCCTAAAGCTAAAATATAGAATTATGTGTGTGTGTGTGTGACTTCAGAACCGTGCCACTTGGTGTGTCAGCACCCGACACTGGACGAATTGGTCTGCATGAGTTATGACGAAGTATGTAACACCACATTTCCCTCGGACGAAAAGCGATGCCGAAATGACGAAGACAAGGACTCGGCTTGCTGTCAAACAACTAGTAATTTTTTTAACCGTTTTTCAAAACTTTTACTCGTTTTTGCCCAATATTAACTCAAAAATTTAATTGTATCAAATAAGCTGTCATAAAAAGCTCTTACATTTATTCATATTTTAAGTTTACTTCTGAAGTTTCTTCTAAATCGATTCCAAGATCTTGCACTTGATCCTTTTGACTAGTAAGTGTAATTTATTTTGCTTTTGCTTCTGATGTTGTACCCGTATGTCAAATTATGAATCCATTAAAATTACGGTCCTGAGTCGACGCAGACTCTGAGATGCTCCGAATAAAACGAAAATGTTACAGAAAAAGATGAAAAAAGATCTGTCAGCTAATACATAGTCAGCGAATTTTCAGCGATAACAAAAAAATACTCAAGCTGATTGGTAACTCGGATTGTTTCTATTGAAGGCACGTTTAACCGGCAGTTTTTCTTGTGACAGAAACTATTGTATCTACTATGCTATTACGATTTCAACTTTTTAAATCAAGATTCATGAACGTATTGAATACTCAGTCTTGGTGTTTTTAGGTTTGTTTTTGTTTTCAGCAAAAGTCCTAAAATGGTCTAATAATCACAAAGTGCATTCATTGGTATTAATGCATTTATGAATGCTCATAGGTATATATACACTTTTTGAGTTTCGAGTTTATCTGCTTAAAATAAGGTAAATTCGAATTCATCTGCTAAAAATAAGGTAAATTGCGCTCTTCATTTCCGAAAACGGATATGGCGCGAAAAAAAAAATTGGACGAATTCTAGTTTCAAAATAGGATTTTATTTTTCAGATTTCCTAGCAGAATGAAAAATTAACCTATTAATCCACTTTTCTCAAATTGGGTTGATTTTATCAAAAAAGTGTCAATCATAAATTGTTCTTGAAGTTCAACATAGATTGTTTTTGAAATTGAGGCCATATTTAGTTTTCTTTGAAATTCGAGATTGAAGTAAAAAAAACAAAGAAGGATTTGTTTTCTATTTCCATGCGTTAATGACTCTTTCCCAACTGTCTGTTTTCTATGTTTTGGTTTTCAAAACTCATAATTTTTTTGTATCGCGTTGGCTAAAGTTTTCAGTTTAAACTGTTTTCCATATCGTGTCGGTCGTTCAGCCCTCGGAACAACTATGATAGGCTATTCCTTGAAGATAACTAGGTTCTCCTTGATAGTGAATAGGTTCTCTTGAAAATAGAACGTCTTGAGTGTGCTACATTGTAACATATTTAGAAAGTTACCATTCTGATGATTGGCACAGTATGTTTTCTAATAAAATACTGTGAAAATTAACTTGTAACAGGTGAAACCTACCGCCTAGGGAGAACTGAAAAACTTCATGAAAAATCCGTATCGAAAGTTTTCCAAAATGACACAAGAGTGTAGTTTGTTAGTTGTTTTGTCTAGATCAGGGAGTTTGATATATCGGAGCAGGTCAATATCGAATATCGAAATCATGACAGTATCGATATATCGATATTCTTCGATATTTGAAATGAAATATGGAATATCGATATTTTGCTCAAAAATGAAATGAACTAGTTTTTATTGACACCGGCACAGGAAAAAAGCTTTCATTCAAAAAAATATATTATAATTTCGTGAAAATTTGCAAACGTTTCATTTGCCAAAGTCGAAATTTAACACGAAAGTATCGAAAATATTGAAATATTTTACATTTTTATGGAAAACTCATTATTAACGTGTCAAAAATATCAATATCGATTTTAATATCGAAAACTGCCTTTCGAAAATAGCCTTCCCTGGTCTAGATACCTTTATGTCATAGCTCTGTCCATTCCCATTAATGCTGAAAATATTTTACACAGTTCGCAATCAAAAACTTACGTGTTTCAGCAGCTTCCACAACTGAGGAAACCACTACTTTCGAGGAATCAAGCTCATCTTCATCGGCTACAACTTCAGGTTCGTCATCTGGTCCGACTAGTTCTGGATCAAGCGCTGGCTCCACAAGTTCTGGTCTAACCAGCTCAGCATCAACTTCAGGGCCAACAAGTTCCGGCTCAACATCTGCCACTACAAGTACTGGCTCAACAAGTTCTGGTGTCACGAGCCCTGGTTCGTCAACATCTGGTTCATCAGTACCATCAACCAGTTCTGCATCGTCCTCAGCTACCAGTTTCGGCTCCTCATCTGGTCCAACCAGTTCTGGATCAAGCACTGGCTCCACTAGCTCTGGCTCTACAAGTTCTGGTCTTACCAGCTCAGGATCAACTTCAGGGCCAACGAGTTCCGGCTCAACTTCTGCCACTACAAGTTCTGGCTCAACAAGTTCTGGTGTCACGAGCCCTGGGTCGTCAACTTCATCTGGTTCATCAGCACCATCAACCAGTTCTGCGTCTTCGACAGCTACCAGTTCCGGCTCCTCATCTGGTCCAACCAGTTCTGGATCAAGCACTGGCTCCACTAGCTCTGGCTCTACAAGTTCTGGTCTGACCAGCTCAGGATCAACTTCAGGGCCAACGAGTTCCGGTTCAACTTCTGCCACTACAAGTTCTGGCTCAACAAGTTCTGGTGTCACGAGCCCTAGGTCGTCAACTTCCGGTTCATCAGTACCATCAACAAGTTCTGCATCCTCGACAGCTACCAGTTCCGGCTCCTCATCTGGTCCAACCAGTTCTGGATCAAGCACTGGCTCCACTAGCTCTGGCTCTACAAGTTCTGGTCTGACCAGCTCAGGATCAACTTCAGGGCCCTCGAGTTCCGGCTCAACTTCTGCCACTACAAGTTCTGGTGTCACGAGCCCTGGGTCGTCAACTTCCAGTTCATCAGTACCATCAACAAGTTCTGCATCATCGACAGCTACCAGTTCCGGCTCTTCATCTGGTCCAACCAGTTCTGGATCAAGCACTGGCTCCACTAGCTCTGCCTCTACAAGTTCTGGTCTGACCAGCTCAGGATCAACTTCAGGGCCCACGAGTTCCGGCTCAACTTCTGCCACTACAAGTTCTGGCTCAACAAGTTCTGGTGTCACGAGACCTGGGTCGTCAACTTCATCTGGCTCATCAGCACCATCAACCAGTTCTGCATCTTCCTCTGCTACCAGTTCCGGCTCTTCATCTGGTCCAACCAGTTCTGAATCAAGCACTGGCTCCACTAGCTCTGGCTCTACAAGTTCTGGTCTGACCAGCTCAGCATCAAGTTCAGGGCCAACGAGTTCCGGCTCAACTTCTGCCACTACAAGTTCTGGCTCAACAAGTTCTGGTGTCACGAGCCCTGGCTCGTCAACTTCATCTGGTTCATCAGCACCATCAACCAGTTCTGCATCTTCCTCTGCTACCAGTTCCGGCTCTTCATCTGGTCCAATCAGTTCTGGATCAAGCACTGGCTCCACTAGCTCTGGCTCTACAAGCTCTGGCCTGACCAGCTCAGGATCAACTTCAGGGCCAACGAGTTCCGGCTCAACTTCTGCCACTACAAGTTCTGGCTCAACAAGTTCTGGTGTCACGAGCCCTGGTTCGTCAACTTCATCTGGTTCATCAGCACCATCAACAAGTTCTGCATCTTCGACAGCTACCAGTTCTGGCTCCTCATCTGGTCCAACCAATTCTGGATCAAGCACTGGCTCCACTAGCTCTGGCTCTACAAGTTCTGGTCTGACCAGTTCAGGATCAACTTCAGGGCCAACGAGTTCCGGCTCAACTTCTGCCACTACAAGTTCTGGCTCAACAAGTTCTGGTGTCACGAGCCCTGGGTCGTCAACATCCGGTTCATCAGCACCATCAACCAGTTCTGCATCTTCGACAGCTACCAGTTCCGGCTCCTCATCTGGTCCAACCAGTTCTGGACCAAGCAGTGGCTCCACTAGCTCTGGCTCTACAAGTTCTGGTCTGACCAGCTCAGGATCTACTTCAGGACCAACGAGTTCCGGCTCAACTTCTGCCACTACAAGTTCTGGCTCAACAAGTTCTGGTGTCACGAGCCCTGGGTCGTCAACATCCGGTTCATCAGCACCATCAACCAGTTCTGCATCTTCGACAGCTACCAGTTCCGGCTCCTCATCTGGTCCAACCAGTTCTGGATCAAGCACTGGCTCCACTAGCTCTGGCTCTACAAGTTCTGGTCTGACCAGCTCAGGATCTACTTCAGGACCAACGAGTTCCGGCTCAACTTCTGCCACTACAAGTACTGGCTCAACAAGTTCTGGTGTCACGAGCCCTGGATCGTCAACATCTGGTTCATCAGTACCATCAACCAGTTCTGCATCGTCCTCAGCTACCAGTTCCGGCTCCTCATCTGGTCCAATCAGTTCTGGATCAAGCACTGGCTCCACTAGCTCTGGCTCTACAAGCTCTGGTCTGACCAGCTCAGAATCAACTTCAGGGCCAACGAGTTCCGGCTCAACTTCTGCAACTACAAGTTCTGGCTCAACAAGTTCTGGTGTCACGAGCCCTGGGTCGTCAACATCCGGTTCATCAGCACCCTCAACCAGTTCTGCATCTTCCTCTGCTACCAGTTCCGGCTCTTCATCTGGTCCAATCAGTTCTGGATCAAGCACTGGCTCCACTAGCTCTGGCTCTACAAGCTCTGGTCTGACCAGCTCAGGATCAACTTCAGGGCCAACGAGTTCCGGCTCAACTTCTGCCACTACAAGTTCTGGTGTCACGAGCCCTGCATCGTCAACTTCGCCTGGTTCTTCAGTACCATCAACCAGTTCTGCGTCTTCCACAGCTACCAGTTCCGGCTCTTCATCTGGTCCAACCAGTTCTGGATCAAGCACTGGCTCCACTAGCTCTGGCACTACAAGTTCTGGATTGACCAGCTCAGGGTCAACTTCAGGGCCAACGAGTTCCGGCTCAACTTCTGCCACTACAAGTTCTGGTGTCACGAGCCCTGCATCGTCAACTTCTTCCGGCTCATCGGTACCATCAACCACTACTGCATCTTCATCTGCTATCAGTTCCAGATCTTCATCTGGTCCAACTAGTTCTGGATCAAGCGCTGGCTCCACTAGCTCCGGCTCTACAAGTTCTGGTTTGACCAGCTCAGGATCAACTTCAGGGCCAACGCGGTCCAGCTCAACTTCTGCCACTACAACTTCTGGCTCAACAAGTTCTGGTGTCACGAGCCCTGCGTCGTCAACTTCATCTGGTTCATCAGCACCATCATCAATTCCTGCAAGTTCTCCATCCACCCAGGGCACAACTGAGGAAACCACTACTTTCGAGGAGTCAAGCTCATCTTCATCGGCTACAACTTCAGGTTCGTCATCTGGTCCGACTAGTTCTGGATCAAGCGCTGGCTCCACAAGTTCTGGTCTAACCAGCTCAGCATCAACTTCAGGGCCAACAAGTTCCGGCTCAACTTCTGCCACTACAAGTACTGGCTCAACAAGTTCTGGTGTCACGAGCCCTGGATCGTCAACATCTGGTTCATCAGTACCATCAACGAGTTCTGCATTGTCCTCAGCTACCAGTTCCGGCTCCTCATCTGGTCCAACCAGTTCTGGATCAAGCACTGGCTCTACTAGCTCTGGCTCTACAAGTTCTGGTCTTACCAGCTCAGGATCAACTTCAGGGCCAACGAGTTCCGGCTCAACTTCTGCCACTACAAGTTCTGGCTCCACAAGTTCTGGTGTCACAAGCCCTGGATCGTCAACCTCGTCTGGTTCCACGGTACCATCAACTAGTTCTGCATCTTCCTCAGCTACCAGTTCCGGATCCTCGTCAGGCCCCACCAGTTCTGGATCAAGCGCTGTCTCCACAAGCTCTGGCTCTACAAGTTCGGGTTTGACCAGCTCAGGATCAACTTCAGGGCCTACAAGTTCGGGCTCAACTTCTGCCACTACAAGTTCTGGCTCAACACGTTCTGGTGTTACAAGCCCTGGATCATCAACTTCGTCTGGATCGTCAGTGCCATCAACCAGTTCTGCATCTTCCTCAGCTACCAGCTCTGGCTTCTCGTCAGTCCCAACCAGTTCTGGATCAAGCGCTGGCTCCACAAGCTCTGGCTCTACAAGTTCTAGTCTGACCAGCTCAGGATCCACTTCAGGGATCACAAGTTCCGGATCAACATCTGCCACTACAAGTTCTGGCTCAACAAGTTCTGGTGTCACAAGCCCCGGATCGTCAACTTCGTCTGGATCGTCAGTGCGATCAACCAGTTCTGCATCTTCCTCAGCTACCAGTTCTGGCTCCTCGTCAGTCCCAACCAGTTCTGGATCAAGCGCTGGCTCCACAAGCTCTGGTTCTACAAGTTCTGGTCTGACCAGCTCGGGATCAACTACAGGGCCAGCAAGTTCTGGTTCAACTTCTGCCACTACAAGTTCTGGCTCAACAAGTTCTGGTGTCACAAGCCCCGGATCGTCAACCAGTTCTGCTTCTTCCTCAGCTACCAGTTCGGGCTCTTCATCTGGCCCAGCCAGTTCTGGTTCAAGCGCTGGCTCCACAAGCTCTGGCTCTACAAGTTCTGGTCTGACCAGCTCAGGATCAACTTCAGGGCCAACGAGTTCCGGCTCAACTTCTGCCACTACAAGTTCTGGTGTCACGAGCCCTGCATCGTCAACTTCGCCTGGTTCCTCAGTACCATCAACTAGTTCTGCATCTTCGTCAGCTACCAGTTCCGGCTCCTCGTCAGGCCCAACCAGTTCAGGATCAAGCGCTGGCTCCACAAGCCCTGGCTCTACAAGTTCTGGTCTGACCAGCTCAGGATCAACTTCAGGGCTCACAAGTTCCGGCTCAACATCTGCCACTACAAGTTCTGGCTCAACAAGTTCTGGTGTCACAAGCCCTGGATCGTCAATTTCGTCTGGTTCATCAGTACCACCAACCAGTTCTGCATCTTCCTCAGTTACCAGTTCCGGCTCTTCATCAGGTCCAACCAGTTCTGGATCAAGCGCTGGCTCCACAAGCCCTGGCTCTTCAAGCTCTGGTCTGACCAGCTCAGGATCAACTTCAGGGCCCACAAGTTCCGGCTCAACATCTGCGACCACAAGTTCTGGCTCAACAAGTACTGGTGTCACAAGCCCTGGATCTTCAGCTTCGACTGGATCGTCAGTACCATCAACCAGTTCGGCTTCTTCCTCAGCTACCAGTTCCGGCTCCTCGTCAGGCCCAACCAGTTCTGGATCAAGCGCTGGCTCCACAAGCTCTGGCTCTACAAATTCTGGTGTGACCAGTCCAGGATCAACTTCAGGGCCTACAAGTTCGGGCTCAACTTCTGCCACTACAAGCTCTGGCTCAACAAGTTCTGCTGTCACAAGCCCTGGATCATCAACTTTGTCTGGTTCATCAGTACCATCAACCAGTTCTGCATCTTCTTCGGCTACCAGTTCCGGCTCCTCATCAGGCCCAACGAGCTCTGGATCAAGCGCTGTCTCCACAAGCTCTGGCTCTACAAGTTCGGGTTTGACCAGCTCAGGATCAACTTCAGGGCCTACAAGTTTGGGCTCAACTTCTGCCACTACAAGTTCTGGTGTTACAAGCCCTGGATCATCAACTTCGTCCGGCTCATCGGTACCATCAACAACTTCTGCATCATCCTCAGCTACCAGTTCCGGCTCTTCATCAGGTCCAACCAGTTCTGGATCAAGCACTGGCTCCACGAGTCCTGGCTCTACAAGTTCGGGTTTGACCAGCTCAGGATCAACTTCAGGGCCTATAAGTTCGGGCTCAACTTCTGCCACTACAAGTTTTGGCTCAACAAGTTCTGGTGTCACGAGCCCTGGATCGTCAACATCTGGTTCATCAGTACCATCAACCAATTCTGCATCGTCCTCAGCTACCAGTTCCGGCTCTTCATCTGGTCCAACCAGTTCTGGATCAAGCACTGGCTCCACAAGCTCTGGCTCTACAAGTTCTGGTTTGACCAGCTCAGGATCAACATCAGGGCCTACAAGTTCGGGCTCAACTTCTGCCACTACAAGTTCTGGCTCAACAAGTTCTGGTGTTACAAGCCCTGGATCATCAACTTCGTTCGGCTCATCGATACCATCAACAACTTCTGCATCATCCTCAGCTACCAGTTCCGGCTCTTCATCAGGTCCAACCAGTTCTGGATCAAGCGCTGGCTCCACAAGTCCTGGCTCTACAAGTTCGGGTTTGACCAGCTCAGGATCAACTTCAGGGCCTACAAGTTCGGGCTCAACTTCTGCCACTACAAGTTCTGGCTCAACAAGTTCTGGTGTTACAAGCCCTGGATCGTCAACTTCGTCTGGTTCATCAGTACCATCAACCAGTTCTGCATCTTCCTCAGCTACCAGTTCCGGCTCTTCATCAGGCCCAACCAGTTCTGGATCAAGCGCTGGCTCCACAAGCCCTGGCTCTACAAGCTCTGGTCTGACCAGCTCAGGATCAACTTCAGGGCCTACAAGTTCGGGCTCAACTTCTGCAACTACAAGTTCTGGCTCAACAAGTTCTGGTGTTACAAGCCCTGGATCGTCAACTTCGTCTGGTTCATCAGTACCATCAACCAGTTCTGCATCTTCCTCAGCTACCAGTTCCGGCTCTTCATCAGGCCCAACCAGTTCTGGATCAAGCGCTGGCTCCACAAGCCCTGGCTCTACAAGCTCTGGTCTGATCAGCTCAGGATCAACTTCAGGGCCTACAAGTTCCGGCTCAACATCTGCCAGTACAAGTTCTGGCTCAACAAGTTCTGGTCTCACAAGCCCTGGATCGTCAACTTCGTCTGGTTCATCAGTACCATCAACAAGTTCTGCATCTTCTTCAGCTACCAGTTCCGGCTCCTCATCTGGTCCAACCAGTTCTGGATCAAGCGCTGGCTCCACAAGTCCTGGCTCTACAAGTTCGGGTTTGACCAGCTCAGGATCAACTTCAGGGCCTACAAGTTCGGGCTCAACTTCTGCCACTACAAGTTCTGGCTCAACAAGTTCTGGTGTTACAAGCCCTGGATCGTCAACTTCGTCTGGTTCATCAGTACCATCAACCAGTTCTGCATCTTCCTCAGCTACCAGTTCCGGCTCTTCATCAGGCCCAACCAGTTCTGGATCAAGCGCTGGCTCCACAAGCCCTGGCTCTACAAGCTCTGGTCTGACCAGCTCAGGATCAACTTCAGGGCCTACAAGTTCGGGCTCAACTTCTGCCACTACAAGTTCTGGCTCAACAAGTTCTGGTGTTACAAGCCCTGGATCGTCAACTTCGTCTGGTTCATCAGTACCATCAACCAGTTCTGCATCTTCCTCAGCTACCAGTTCCGGCTCTTCATCAGGCCCAACCAGTTCTGGATCAAGCGCTGGCTCCACAAGCCCTGGCTCTACAAGCTCTGGTCTGACCAGCTCAGGATCAACTTCAGGGCCTACAAGTTCGGGCTCAACTTCTGCCACTACAAGTTCTGGCTCAACAAGTTCTGGTGTTACAAGCCCTGGATCGTCAACTTTGTCTGGTTCATCAGTACCATCAACCAGTTCTGCATCTTCCTCAGCTACCAGTTCCGGCTCTTCATCAGGCCCAACCAGTTCTGGATCAAGCGCTGGCTCCACAAGCCCTGGCTCTACAAGCTCTGGTCTGATCAGCTCAGGATCAACTTCAGGGCCTACAAGTTCCGGCTCAACATCTGCCAGTACAAGTTCTGGCTCAACAAGTTCTGGTCTCACAAGCCCTGGATCGTCAACTTCGTCTGGTTCATCAGTACCATCAACAAGTTCTGCATCTTCTTCAGCTACCAGTTCCGGCTCCTCATCTGGTCCAACCAGTTCTGGATCAAGCACTGGCTCCACAAGCTCTGGCTCTACAAGTTCTGGTTTGACCAGCTCAGGCTCAACTTCAGGGCCTACAAGTTCGGGCTCAACTTCTGCCACTACAAGTTCTGGCTCAACAAGTTCTGGTGTTACAAGCCCTGGATCGTCAACTTCGTCTGGTTCATCAGTACCATCAACCAGTTCTGCATCTTCCTCAGCTACCAGTTCCGGCTCTTCATCAGGCCCAACCAGTTCTGGATCAAGCGCTGGCTCCACAAGCCCTGGCTCTACAAGCTCTGGTCTGACCAGCTCAGGATCAACTTCAGGGCCTACAAGTTCGGGCTCAACTTCTGCCACTACAAGTTCTGGCTCAACAAGTTCTGGTGTTACAAGCCCTGGATCGTCAACTTCGACTGGTTCATCAGTACCATCAACCAGTTCTGCATCTTCCTCAGCTACCAGTTCCGGCTCCTCATCTGGTCCAACCAGTTCTGGATCAAGCACTGGCTCCACAAGTTCTGGCTCAACAAGTTCTGGTGTTACAAGCCCTGGATCATCAACTTCGTTCGGCTCATCGATACCATCAACAACTTCTGCATCATCCTCAGCTACCAGTTCCGGCTCTTCATCAGGTCCAACCAGCTCTGGATCAAGCGCTGGCTCCACAAGTCCTGGCTCTACAAGTTCGGGTTTGACCAGCTCAGGATCAACTTCAGGGCCTACAAGTTCGAGCTCAACTTCTGCCACTACAAGTTCTGGCTCAACAAGTTCTGGTGTTACAAGCCCTGGATCGTCAACTTCGTCTGGTTCATCAGTACCATCAACCAGTTCTGCATCTTCCTCAGCTACCAGTTCCGGCTCTTCATCAGGCCCAACCAGTTCTGGATCAAGCGCTGGCTCCACAAGCCCTGGCTCTACAAGCTCTGGTCTGACCAGCTCAGGATCAACTTCAGGGCCTACAAGTTCGGGATCAACTTCTGCCACTACAAGTTCTGGCTCAACAAGTTCTGGTGTTACAAGCCCTGGATCGTCAACTTCGTCTGGTTCATCAGTACCATCAACCAGTTCTGCATCTTCCTCAGCTACCAGTTCCGGCTCTTCATCAGGCCCAACCAGTTCTGGATCAAGCGCTGGCTCCACAAGTTCTGGCTCTACGAGTTCTGGCGTGACCAGTGCAGGATCAACTTCAGGGCCTACAAGTTCGGGCTCAACTTCTGCCACTACAAGCACTGGCTCAACAAGTTCTGCTGTCACAAGCCCTGGATCATCATTTTCGTCTGGTTCATCAGTACCATCAACAAGTTCTGCATCTTCCTCAGCTACCAGTTCCGGCTCTTCATCAGGCCCAACCAGTTCTGGATCAAGCGCTGGCTCCACAAGTTCTGGCTCTACGAGTTCTGGCGTGACCAGTGCAGGATCAACTTCAGGGCCTACAAGTTCGGGCTCAACTTCTGCCACTACAAGCACTGGCTCAACAAGTTCTGGTGTTACAAGCCCTGGATCGTCAACTTCGTCTGGTTCATCAGTACCATCAACCAGTTCTGCATCTTCCTCAGCTACCAGTTCCGGCTCTTCATCAGGCCCAACCAGTTCTGGATCAAGCGCTGGCTCCACAAGCCCTGGCTCTACAAGCTCTGGTCTGATCAGCTCAGGATCAACTTCAGGGCCTACAAGTTCCGGCTCAACATCTGCCAGTACAAGTTCTGGCTCAACAAGTTCTGGTCTCACAAGCCCTGGATCGTCAACTTCGTCTGGTTCATCAGTACCATCAACAAGTTCTGCATCTTCTTCAGCTACCAGTTCCGGCTCCTCATCTGGTCCAACCAGTTCTGGATCAAGCGCTGTCTCCACAAGCTCTGGCTCTACAAGTTCTGGTTTCACCAGTTCAGGATCAACTTCAGGGCCTACAAGTTCGGGCTCAACTTCTGCCACTACAAGCTCTGGCTCAACAAGTTCTGGTGTCACAAGCCCTGGATCGTCAACTTCGTCTGGTTCATCAGTACCATCAACCAGTTCTGCCTCTTCTTCGGCTACCAGTTCCGGCTCCTCATCAGGCCCAATCAGTTCTGGATCAAGCGCTGTCTCCACAAGCTCTGGCTCTACAAGTTCTGGTTTGACCAGCTCAGGATCAACTTCAGGGCCTACAAGTTCCGGCTCAACATCTGCCACTACAAGTTCTGGCTCAACAAGTTCTGGTGTCACAAGCCCTGGATCGTCAACTTCGTCTGGTTCATCAGTACCATCAACCAATTCTGCAGCTTCCTCAGCTACCAGTTCCGGCTCGTCATCTGGCTCAACTAGTTCGGGATCAAGCACTGGCTCCACAAGCTCTGGCTCTACAAGTTCTGGTCTGACCAGCTCAGGATCAACTTCAGGGCCACCAAGTTCCAGCTCAGCTTCTGCCACTACAAGTTCTGGCTCAACAAGTTCAGTTGTAACTAGTGCTGGATCATCATCGCCGTCCTCTGGCTCGTCAGCACCATCAACCAATCCTGCAACTTCACCATCAACTCAGAGAACAACTGAGGAAACCACAACTTTCGAGGAGTCAAGTTCATCCTCAACTGCCACAAGTTCAGCCTCGTCATCTGGTCCGACTAGTTCGGGATCAAGCGCTGGCTCCACTAGCTCTGGCTCTACAAGTTCTGGTTTGACCAGTTCAGGATCAACTTCAGGACCTACAAGTCCGGGCTCAACTTCTGCCACTACAAGTTCTGGCTCAACAAGTTCTGGTGTTACAAGCCCTGGATCGTCAACTTCGTCTGGTTCATCAGTACCATCAACCAGTTCTTCATCTTCCTCAGCTACCAGTTCCGGCTCTTCATCAGGCCCAACCAGTTCTGGATCAAGCGCTGGCTCCACAAGCCCTGGCTCTACAAGCTCTGGTCTGACCAGCTCAGGATCAACTTCAGGACCTACAAGTCCGGGCTCAACTTCTGCCACTACAAGTTCTGGCTCAACAAGTTCTGGTGTTACAAGCCCTGGATCGTCAACTTCGTCTGGTTCATCAGTACCATCAACCAGTTCTGCATCTTCTTCGGCTACCAGTTCTGGCTCTTCTTCTGGCCCTACCAGTTCTGGATCAAGCGCTGGCTCCACAAGCTCTGGCTCAACAAGTTCTGGTGTCACAAGCTCTGGATCATCAACTTCGTCTGGTTCATCAGTACCATCAACCATTTCTGCATCTTCTTCGGCTACCAGTTCGGGCTCCTCATCAGGCCCAACCAGTTCTGGATCAAGCGCTGGCTCCACAAGTTCTGGTTTGACAAGTTCAGGATCAACTTCAGGGCCTACAAGTCCGGGCTCAACTTCTGCCACTACAAGTTCTGGCTCAACAAGTTCTGGTGTCACAAGCCCTGGATCATCAACCTCGTCTGGTTCATCAGTACCATCTACCAGTTCTGCCTCTTCTTCGGCTACCAGTTCTGGCTCCTCATCAGGCCCAACCAGTTCTGTATCAAGCGCTGTCTCCACAAGCTCTGGCTCTACAAGTTCTGGTTTGACCAGTTCAGGATCAACTTCAGGGCCTACAAGTTCCGGCTCAACATCTGCCAGTACAAGTTCTGGCTCAACAAGTTCTGGTCTCACAAGCCCTGGATCGTCAACTTCGTCTGGTTCATCAGTACCATCAACCAGTTCTGCATCTTCTTCGGCTACCAGTTCTGGCTCCTCTTCTGGCCCTACCAGTTCTGGATCAAGCGCTGGCTCCACAAGCTCTGGCTCAACAAGTTCTGGTGTCACAAGCTCTGGATCATCAACTTCGTCTGGTTCATCAGTACCATCAACCATTTCTGCATCTTCGGCTACCAGTTCCGGCTCCTCATCAGGCCCAACCAGTTCTGGATCAAGCGCTGTCTCCACAAGCTCTGGCTCTACAAGTTCTGGTTTGACCAGTTCAGGATCAACTTCAGGGCCTACAAGTTCGGGCTCAACTTCTGCCACTACAAGCTCTGGCTCAACAAGTTCTGGTGTCACAAGCCCTGGATCATCAACCTCGTCTGGTTCATCAGTACCATCTACCAGTTCTGCCTCTTCTTCGCCTACCAGTTCCGGCTCCTCATCAGGCCCAACCAGTTCTGGATCAAGCGCTGTCTCCACAAGCTCTGGCTCTACAAGTTCTGGTTTGACCAGTTCAGGATCAACTTCAGGGCCTACAAGTTCGGGCTCAATTTCTGCCACTACAAGCTCTGGCTCAACAAGTTCTGGCTCAACAAGTTCTGGTATCACAAGCCCTGGATCGTCAACTTCGTCTGGTTCATCAGTACCATCAACCAGTTCTGCCTCTTCTTCGGCTACCAGTTCCGGCTCCTCATCAGGCCCAACCAGTTCTGGATCAAGCGCTGTCTCCACAAGCTCTGGCTCTACAAGTTCTGGTTTGACCAGTTCAGGATCAACTTCAGGGCCTACAAGTTCCGGCTCAACATCTGCTAGTACAAGTTCTGGCTCAACAAGTTCTGGTCTCACAAGCCCTGGATCGTCAACTTCGTCTGGTTCATCAGTACCATCAACCAGTTCTGCATCTTCTTCGGCTACCAGTTCTGGCTCCTCTTCTGGCCCTACCAGTTCTGGATCAAGCGCTGGCTCCACAAGCTCTGGCTCAACAAGTTCTGGTGTCACAAGCTCTGGATCATCAACTTCGTCTGGTTCATCAGTACCATCAACCATTTCTGCATCTTCGGCTACCAGTTCCGGCTCCTCATCAGGCCCAACCAGTTCTGGATCTAGCGCTGTCTCCACAAGCTCTGGCTCTACAAGTTCTGGTTTGACCAGTTCAGGATCAACTTCAGGGCCTACAAGTTCGGGCTCAACTTCTGCCACTACAAGCTCTGGCTCAACAAGTTCTGGTGTCACAAGCCCTGGATCATCAACCTCGTCTGGTTCATCAGTACCATCTACCAGTTCTGCCTCTTCTTCGCCTACCAGTTCCGGCTCCTCATCAGGCCCAACCAGTTCTGGATCAAGCGCTGTCTCCACAAGCTCTGGCTCTACAAGTTCTGGTTTGACCAGTTCAGGATCAACTTCAGGGCCTACAAGTTCGGGCTCAATTTCTGCCACTACAAGCTCTGGCTCAACAAGTTCTGGCTCAACAAGTTCTGGTATCACAAGCCCTGGATCGTCAACTTCGTCTGGTTCATCAGTACCATCAACCAGTTCTGCCTCTTCGGCTACCAGTTCCGGCTCCTCATCAGGCCCAACCAGTTCTGGATCAAGCGCTGTCTCCACAAGCTCTGGCTCTACAAGTTCTGGTTTGACCAGTTCAGGATCAACTTCAGGGCCTACAAGTTCAGGCTCAACTTCTGCCACTACAAGTTCTGGCTCAACAAGTTCTGGTATCACAAGCCCTGGATCGTCAACTTCGTCTGGTTCATCAGTACCATCAACCAGTTCTGCATCTTCTTCGGCTACCAGTTCTGGCTCCTCATCTGGTTCTACCAGTTCTGGATCAAGCGCTGTCTCCACAAGCTCTGGCTCTACAAGTTCTGGTTTCACCAGTTCAGGATCAACTTCAGGGCCTACAAGTTCGGGCTCAACTTCTGCCACTACAAGTTCTGGCTCAACAAGTTCTGGTATCACAAGCCCTGGATCGTCAACTTCGTCTGGTTCATCAGTACCATCAACCAGTTCTGCCTCTTCTTCGGCTACCAGTTCCGGCTCCTCATCAGGCCCAACCAGTTCTGGATCAAGCGCTGTCTCCACAAGCTCTGGCTCTACAAGTTCTGGTTTGACCAGTTCAGGATCAACTTCAGGGCCTACAAGTTCAGGCTCAACTTCTGCCACTACAAGTTCTGGCTCAACAAGTTCTGGTATCACAAGCCCTGGATCGTCAACTTCGTCTGGTTCATCAGTACCATCAACCAGTTCTGCATCTTCTTCGGCTACCAGTTCTGGCTCTTCATCTGGTCCTACCAGTTCTGGATCAAGCGCTGGCTCAACAAGTTCTGGTGTCACAAGCCCTGGATCGTCAACTTCGTCTGGTTCATCAGTACCATCAACCAGTTCTGCCTCTTCTTCGGCTACCAGTTCCGGCTCCTCATCAGGTCCAATCAGTTCTGGATCAAGCGCTGTCTCCACAAGCTCTGGCTCTACAAGTTCTGGTTTCACCAGTTCAGGATCAACTTCAGGGCCTACAAGTTCGGGCTCAACTTCTGCCACTACAAGCTCTGGCTCAACAAGTTCTGGTGTCACAAGCTCTGGATCATCAACTTCGTCTGGTTCATCAGTAGCATCAACCAGTTCTGCATCTTCTTCGGCTACCAGTTCCGGCTCCTCATCAGGCCCAACCAGTTCTGGATCAAGCTCTGTCTCCACAAGCTCTGGCTCTACAAGTTCTGGTCTGACCAGCTCAGGATCAACTTCAGGGCCTACAGGTTCCGGCTCGACTTCTGTCACTACGAGTTTTGGCTCAACAAGTTCTGGTGTCACAAGCCCTGGATCGTCAACTTCGTCCGGCTCATCGGTACCATCAACAGCTTCTGCGTCTTCCTCGGCTACCAGTTCCGGCTCGTCATCAGGCCCAACCAGTTCTGGATCAAGTGCTGGCTCCACAAGCTCTGGCTCTACAAGTTCTGGTCTGACCAGCTCAGAATCATCTTCAGGGCCCACAAGTTCGGGCTCAACATCTGCCACTACAAGTTCTGGATCAACAAGTTCTGGTGTCACAAGCTCTGGTTCGTCAACTTCGCCTGGTTCATCAGTACCATCAACCAGTTCTGCATCTTCCTCAGCTACCAGTTCCGGCTCGTCATCAGGCCCAACCAGTTCTGGATCAAGTGCTGGCTCCACAAGCTCTGGCTCTACAAGCTCTGGTCTGACCAGCTCAGGATCAACTTCAGGGCCTACAAGTTCCGGCTCAACATCTGCCAGTACAAGTTCTGGCTCAACAAGTTCTGGCTCAACAAGTTCTGGTGTCACAAGCCCTGGATCGTCAACTTCGTCTGGTTCATCAGTAACATCAACCAGTTCTGCATCTTCCTCAATTATAAGTTCCATCTCTACTACCACTGAGACTTGGGGTAAGCCTATTTTTTTCTAACCGTTGTGTTGTTCCGGGGGACGTTTTGTTTTGATAGTTTGCATAAATTTGCCAGACTTTTTTAAGGTAGGTTTGTTAGTTTGTTTTATTTAAAATTTCATTTTTCGATGTGACCAGTCTAAAGGAAAAAAATAGAAATCGGTTTTTTGGGAATACGGGAAAAGAAACATAAATTGAAATGGTCCAAAGTCGACTATGGTATACCGTCAACGAAATGTTATCGTCGTAAAATTGGCGTAACGTCAAAGTTAGAGTTTTCGATCAATAAATCAGTCTCTTTTACAGTAGCGCTAACCGAATTGAGTTCAAATTACTCAAAATTATTTTAAGTTATTTTTGGTCTTTTTATCGGGGTTAGTTACACTTTACTTTCTTGTTTGTCAGTTTGATACGAATTAAGCTCATTCTTTCAGTTATAATCTAAAGAAAAACTAACTGTCTGCGTGTGGCGAATTTGTTTGCAATTTTATCATCGAATGTTTAATTTGCATGTTTAATTTTTGCAGCAACACGGTCTAGACCTCCTAGGACTACACCAAGTAAAACAACTCATATGCAGAATGGGACACAGTCATCATCTCTACCCTCGACTACCTCGTCAGGTTCCAGTAAGTGACAGTGAACATATAGCTAGTTTACTTTCTTTGATACTTGGAGTGTGAATAAACCAGCTGAATTATAAACCAACCGAAAACGTGCAGTATATCAATCAGCCGCAAAATTACATCATATCCATGAAATTTGCATAACTTTCGTAATTGTTACCTAAACTTATATAATACTGCGTATTTTCGACTGGTTTATACTTCAGCTGGTTTACATTTCGGGTGGTTCAAATACCACCGATACTTGAGCATTGTTGGGCCAGTCGATCTGGCCCAAAACGTTGTTGACTTCTAATTTTTCAAGTGGATTTTAAATTTCAGGTTTCTCAGTAGAATTAAAGATTCACCTTTTGATCCAGTTTTCTCAAATTGGGTTAATTTTATTTAAAAAAGTGTCAGTCGTAAGTTGCTCTAGAAATTCAAAGAGCTTTAGGGCATCTATTTTTTTCTTTGATTTTCGATTGCTGTTGGCAATGTATTGGAGGAAGCCTCGGGCGCCTAACTTTTATTGCTATTATTAATTTCACAAAAAGTAAGCTCACACTTTTTTTCTATGTTCACAAAAGTTACTGCCAATGGAAGGAGAAGGAATACAGAAAAGAACGAAGTTGAAAACATACTTAAGTATATGGCGACTCGTCAAAAATTTACCTAAAGTATTTACATTTTGTAATCCAAAACAAAAATTGTAACCTGCTCTGTGCTGTGTCATGTTCTCTGAATTACTATAAGAACAAGACCGTTCGTATCAAGACGAGGCCCTGAATGCTCCGGCTGCCTCTTAAGGTTTATGGAGCAGTGATAACATGAGCAGTGAAAAAACTTAAATGTAATATAAATAGAATGATTTTTTTTTTCAATTTGAGTTTTTTGTGAAAATCATCTCCCCACACGCCACAATAAGTACAAAGTGATAGATTTTACATTTCAATTATAGATTTTATATTATCTTAAATTTTTATATTATTTTATATAACAAATCAATTATGGCAAATAAGCTTCCTTCAACCAAATTGGAATGATTTCTAAGACGGAAACAGACTGCTCGTATCAGAGCGAAGCCCTGAATGTTCCGACTGCCTTTTAAGGTCTATGGAGCAGTGATAACATGAAAAAATTAAATGTAATAGAAAAACGATTTTTTTTTAATTTGAGAGTTTTTGTGAAAGTCATCCCCCTTACGCCATATAAAATTCAAAGTGATAAATTTCGCTCCTAGTAACAAATCAATTATGGCAAATAAGCTTCGTTCAACCAATTTGGAACGAATTCTAAGACGGATTAAATCTTCGCTTACGCGTTAATAGCGGGAAATATATAGCGCGTTATTTGTCCCAAATTGGCCAAAATAGCAATCTTTAAACCCCCATAACTTTACGAAAAATGATAACAGGTGAAATATATTGTCAAATTTAAGCTCAAGACAACAATACCTTTTGAATGATATAAAAAATGCCGTCAAAAACGGCTAGTTAAAAAATCGAAATTTGTCTGAAGAAAAAACTCACCCCGAGCACAAATGTTCCGTTACTTTCGTTACGAAGGTCGGAACAATAAAAAAACGAAAAACAATTCTAAAAACCTATTTTTGCCATGAAGATGCCAAACACCGCTTCAAAACTTGTTCTTAATAAGTAAAATGAAGGCACTCATGGCTTAAAGAAAAAATTTTTTGTTGTATCAACTATTCGCTCGCTTTCCTCGCTCGAAATTAGGGTAAAAAATCCAAAAACTTCAAATCTGTTTTTCTCGACAGAAAAAAAATTTTGAACATAAAATAATATCATTTGAATCACGATAGAAAGGGTTTTAAAATAATATATTGTTCGACCTATTCTGAAGATTTTCTGTGATTTTTAATTTTGTGTGGAAAAAGTAACAAAAAAAACGTAAACACATCGAAAACAAAGTTATTTTCCAATCTTTCAGTGCTCGGCACAATAAATTAGTTTGGACTCGTACAGCCTTCAAAAAATGTCGATAATTTTTGCAGGAGCACTAACTTGAGCAAGCGCCGAATGCATTTCAATCTGATATCTTGCAGTTTTATAATCTTTCAATATCGTTCAAGATCGTAAAGTTACTTGGAATTTATTGAAAGACCTCATTACACAAGCGACTTGCGGTAGACCGATTTCATGACCTTACGGCTCTGAAGCTCACTTGTGTAATAATAGTTTTTCAATAAATTCCAAGTAACTTTACGATCTTGAACGATATTGAAAGATTATAAAACTGGAAGTCGCAAAATCATTTCTTACAATGATTGTAGTACAGAGTTTTACGGCATCTATGTATTAATTCAACAGCTAGTAGAGAATTAAACACAATGCTTAAGGCAAGTGACTCTTAGTTGGGAGAGAGACAAAGTTTGCATCTTGTTGTCTCAAATTGATTTTTCAATTGATTTTCTTCCCAACCATTTTTTTGTATTTTTCTTGCTTTTTTCTCTTTTTTTGCTCCCGGTTTTTTGCTTGCTACTTGAAGGTACTGCTCCGCTCCTGATACGAGTTTTACTCGTATTTGACGGATATAAGTGATGTTTTATGATGTTGAACGTTTATCTTTGAAGTTCTGAAAGATCTTGCAAGATAAGCATTTGTTTTAAAGCATATCAGAACAGGGGCGGGTTCAGGGGAATTCGATCCCCTCGCCAACTCTTTGGATTTTTTTCGACGTCTATTTTCGACTGAACAACCCAAAACTTTTCTTAAGGCGCCTTTGGCGCCAATATATACTAATTTTGAAGGGGAGCGCGCGCCGGAAAAACGCGCAACCTTTTCGTCAAAGTTTTCCAAAAAATGCCCAAAAACGGCATTTTTTACCTGTTTTTTTTTTCAAAAGTTATCTGCGGCGCAACATTTTTTGTCAGTAATTTCAGTGAGAGAGCTCGAAAAATCTATTTGGTCCACCTAAGAAAACTTTTTGAAAAAAATCCATCCCCCTCGAGTAAATCCTAGATTCGCTTTTGTTGCTGTAAAAGTTTTAAAAGCTTAGAATAGATCCAGCAGATTTATTGATTACAAAACTTGTTTGTCTGCTGAATTCTTGGAAACTGAAATTCTCAGAACTTGCTGAAACAATTTCAAAATATTGATAATAATAATAATGGTTCGGTTACTTAAAAGCGTTAGTTTCCGAAGCGTTTGTAGGTACTTCTATCATAGAGTGGTCCCTTTCAAACTAACCTTATCTCTTGAAAATAAGACAACTAGAGCTCTCAAATTGTTTTACTATTATGATTTCGCCCTTCAGAAGATGTCGCAGTTTATTTTCGAACAAATTTCATATTTCGTAACTTCCTAAAACTTCACCCCTCACAATTTAAGGTGGAAAATTCGAAAAAAAAAACTGCCAACATTGAGTTTTGATGACAAATAAGGCAAACCCAATTATAGTTGATAAACCCAAAAGTAGGTTGTAGCGAGCATATTTCTTGATATAAACTAGATAGTAATTACAATTATTAACCTGAACAGTTTCTGGCTCAACATATTTTGCGAGATTTTTGAAATGAATTAGTTTTCAAAATTATAAGATGAGAATTGCATGCGGGACCTGTCCATCATAGTTGCTTTTTCGTGGTACCACTCTCTCATAGTAGTACCGCGTTTGTAATATGCCGGTTGGGCTAATTGAAAATGAGGTGACTTTACATAGGTAAAGTAAATTTCCGCATCAAACGCTTTTGAAGTCATACAAAGTTCGCGTTACTAATTGTCCCGACTTTTGAAAAAAAAGTGAGGAATGTCAAAGCTATGGGAAGTTTTTGTTCGGACTAATTTTACAAAACTCTTTGCTCCCTCGAAGGGAGGGAGCGATCGCTTAATCTGCGTGGGCCCAGCGGGTGTGCACACCGCTATAGTTTTATACTTTGCACGTGGCGAACTACCCCGCACTACAAAATCGTTCCAATTTGAATTGAGGCAGCTAATTGGTCTTATTAATTCCATGCACAATATTATCAGCCTAAAATTCGTAGTTTTGCCAATATTTAATTGACCAAAAACTATCCGAGACCAATAAAAGGGCAGTTGGAACATTCATGGCTTTGCCCTGATGCAAACAGTTTTGTTAATACATATTCAAATGTTAGGTAAAATCACTGTTGTGCAAAAGTTTGTTTTGTGTATTAGCTGTGGAGACCACAACATTTGAAGAGTCCACGTCGTCGTCGTTCCCTTCGACCAGCTCTCTCTCAACTTCCGTATCTTCAACTCCGTCGCTGTCCACTTCCTCGCCAGTTTCATCAACCACTGTCTCCGGCAGCACGCCAATCAGCACCTCTCGGTCCTCCACTCAATCCGTCTCCACTGTCACCACCACCAACACCCCCTCCAGATCTACATCTACGCCCCCCTGTGATCCAGACGTGCCATGTGGTCAGTTCAAAACCAAAATAGTAAATGGACCCTGTACTAATGACTCATCCGTCGACGACGACTCCATTTGTAAACCCGAGTGCGGAAAGGAAGTGACCACTGCGGAGATCGTGCCTGGATGTTGCAATGGTTTGTTATTTTGCTCATTTTCATTCCCAGAATTTTTCTAACACTATTTTCAGAGTAATTCTGGACAGTTACAGAATAGTTTCAGTCTTCTGATCCTTGATGAAATGGTTCCGAACTGGTTCAGAACAAAGTGAAGACACTGATCTACGTATTGTGTTTTTTTCCGTCTTTTTTTTCGGAAAAAGACTTACAATTTCTGCACGCTCAAATTTTTAATAGCAGTTTGGCGGATTTTGATTTTTTTTAAGTTCAATTCAAATCATTTGCTAAAATAATAATATTACGCTCTTTAATAACAGCAAAATGCAAATGTGTGAAAACTTGACTGATAATTGCAGTCCATTTTTGAAAAAAAAAATCAGTCAAGTTTTTCACACATTTGCACTTGCTGTTATTAAAAAGCGTAGTATTATTCTTGTAGCAAATGATTTGAATTGAACTTGAAAAATCAAAATCTGCCAAACTGCTACAAAAAATTTGAGCGTGCAGAAATTGTAAGACTTTTTCCAAAAAAAAGACAAAAAAAAACAACCACAATACGTAGATCAGTGTTCTCACTTTGTTTTGAACTAATTCTGAATCGTTTCATAAAGGATCAGAATTTTAACTTATCACGTTAAACACCTAAGAACTTCAAGAATTTCTTAGATTGAAAATTTGTTCGCAAAATTATCGCAATGAGAGAAAACTCAGATTGAAAATTTGTTCACAAAATTATCGCAATGAGAGAAAACTCGGTCAGTTTGAAACTTATTGTTTCTCTGGAAACTCTGATAATTAAAGTCCAGAGAAAAGTTTCAAATTGACCGAGTTTTCTCTAAATGCGATAATTTTGTGAACAAATTTTCAATTTACAAGATTCTTGAAGTTCGTAGGTGTTTAACGTGATAAATTTTTTTTTCTTTTTTTTTCATGGTAAAATTTTGAAGGATACTTAATGATGTTAGACTAGCACTTGTGAGCCAACGAGTTTATATAATGTACTATGTAATTAACATTAAAAAAGAAGACAATTCTTTTTGATAGCCTTGATTTTCAGAGTGTACCGGTGACCTAGTGGCGTCTAACTGCAGCAACAAGTGTGGATCCACCTGTGCTTCCATTGGCTCAGACTGCAGCCAATCAGAATCGTCGGACGATGATTTCACATGCTACGAAGGCTGTTCGTGTGCAGAAGGAATGGCATACGACGACAAGCTGAATAAATGTGTGGCTGTGAGTGAGTGTGGATGTTACTACAATGATGCGTCTGGAACAGTCCGAAACTTTCTCTCATCCAGTGGCTCCTTGTCATTCTCGGCCAATGACTGTCCCATTTACGACGACCGATATGACCGCGACCTCATTTTCAGTTGCAAGTGGTACGTAATATGACTAAATGGTGAGGTGGAAGCTAAGGCGTCCGTTTTTTTGTATTTTAGAGCCGATTTTGAATCTCTTCATTTATTAGTTTTCATTAAATGTTAGATCAAAGGTTTTTAGTTTGTCTTATAAAGGGCGTGAAGTTTCGATAAGCAATGAATTCAAGCTGTTTTTGCGTTCGAGAAAGCATAGCTACCGAAAGGAGCAATTAATATCATGAAAGCTTTTGATTTGTTTTTGGAATTTTTAAAATGTCGGAAAATAGAAAATGTAGTTTGCAAAATTTGAAACAGACAAATATAATTAGAAAAACCAATCCGCTAATTGCCAACAAAAGTTGCATCCAAATTATAATATTGACTAAAAAAGTTGCATCTACATGCAAAAGTTTTGCAAAATAGATCAATTGTTATTATTTTTGTCTTTAATTATTATTGTCTTCCCGATCTTTTTGCTACTGATTATAACAATACAACAATGACCTTATGTAAACCATTCAATTTTTTTCTCTTTTCAGCACATGTTTCGCGGGTGAGCTCAGTTGCAACGTGACCACGTGCAATGACTATGATGGAGTCTGCAGAAAGGTCAGTTCACACCCGTCAGGTATCCATCATACTAGAACAAATGACCCAATCTTCAAGATCCACTAGCTATGTGGACCCAACCAACCAAGTTATTTTTTCTTCAATGAAATTGAGCTCAACAATCGTTCCGTTGTATTGATCCGACAGACCACTCTCCGAGTGATTGCTCAGAGACATTTTTCTCAATGAACCTCAATACAAGCTCGTAGGAAGCCAAGTAGTGTCAATAAAGTGCTTTTAGACGTGAAAGTTTCAACGAAAGCTCGTAATTCTCATAAGTGTCGAGATAAACTGGTATGAATATTCTCCTTTTTCTAATGTATTAATTAACTGAGGGGGACTAAAAGAGTTGGGAATTTAACTTAACCTGGTTTTTTTTGGTTAATACACGTTTTTCCCAACTGTAAATTTAGGAGAAATTGTCGAAAAGTATCCAAAAAAGATTAAAACATGCAAAATCAAAGCTCATGCAAAATCAAATACCAAAAAATGTCAGAGAAGATTGAATCAGATGCCACACGGAAGCCCTTGAAACCGTGATTTGTATAATATATAAAAATTTGCATAAAATTTTATATTAATTATGCAAAGAAATGGTTGAACATTTTTGCTTTTAGAGTAGTTTACAACGAAGGTCGCACTACTATTTTATTTACCTTTTCGATAAGTAAGGGCATTGCAATCGGGTATTAGACTTTTCTCCCGCAAAAAACTTGGTTCACAGAGGCAACGAGCCTGGAGACAACAAATACACCTGGCATGGCAAAAGTTGTAATTTTGAATCTGAAAGGACCTGTTTTTTTTTAAACGAGAAGTATTTAATTTTCTAAAAATTGTCTGCTTATTATTTTTTGCTTTTGTGTTGTCGAGTTAGTTGCCCTATCGCAGAATATTTTTGCTCTAAACACTTTGCATTGTAGCTACTTTTAGTGTTTTGACTTATTTCTGCTGATTGAATTTTGCTATTTTTGACTTCGTAAATTTAACTCTTTTTTTTTCGCTTATAAACTTCATTCTGCTCAAATGATTTCGGCATGTATTTTATTGGCTGAGTGAAATAATTTTTTGTCGTTTCAAGGTAAAAATTATTTAAACGCTGCCCTCTGGATTGCACAAAATATTTAAATTTTCAATAAATTTTATAGTTCAAGTTTTTCATAACAACATTTTTCGGCTTTTTTTTCGTTCTTTTTTCCGCTTACAGTTTTCGGCTTATATAATTCTGGCTTAATAATTTCATATTGCGTCTTTCAACGAGAGAAAATGAATTGTATGTTTGCGTGTGTTCTTGAGCGTGAGAGGGACTTTATTACTTGTAATTAGTCTTAGTTTTTTCTTGAATTTTTTTGGCTTTTTTCTTTATTTTTGGGCTATATAGGTTTCGGCCTATATTATATCGGCTTAGTAGCTTTATATTTTTTCTTTTGACAAGCGATATGAATTTTTGTGTCGTGTGTGTGCTTTGAGGGTGAGAGGGACTTAATAACTTTGTATAAGTCTTCAGTCTTGTTGATATTTTTCGTCCTGAAGGGTTTCTGCTAAGGTATTTTTGGCTTTTTGTTATCGCTTGGTAAGCTTTCATCCGCTGTTAATATCATATTCTATTGTGTTGGCATGTTTTTGTTTCAAAATTATTCTTATTATTTTTGATAGATCTAGTTTTTTTGACATTTTTGATTTTTTCGGGCTTAGCGACTTGTTTTGTGGTGCGAAGCTCAGCGTTGCCTCTGTATTGGAATTTATTGTTTTAACAAAATTTATTGTTTTGTTATCCATTTGGAAAGCTGAATTAGTTCTTTTATTGGTCTCTTTTTCTCTCCTATTTGTGTCCACGAACAAAAAAAATTCTTGTGCTGCGAAGCTCTTTAAAAAAAAATTTGTTTGTGATTTTTTTTCGGCCTTTTTGTTTTTCTTTTCTTTATTTTTTGGCTGAATAGGTTTCGGCTTATATTATATTGGCTTAGTGGCCTTATATTGATTTACTTGACGAGCTAATTAAACTTTGGTATTGCGTGTGTGTTTTGAGGGTGAGAGGGACTTAGTAACTTTTTATAAGTCTTCAGCCATGTCGATATTTTTCGGCGTGAAGAGTTTCTCCTAGAGTATTTTGGCTTTGTTGCCGCGTGGTAAATTCTCTTCGGATGTTAATTTCACATTCTTACAGTCTTGAAGTTGAATGTCCTGCTCTTGTCCTGCGAACTTTTATGGAAAAAAAGTTTTTTTTTTTTTAATTTTCAACTTTTTTTGCTCAGATGGCTGAAATCGGAACATTCTGTTCCACTTGCACAATTAAAAGCTATTCTTGTTTCATTTCACATGCCCAGCGTAGTGTCATATTACGATATCCATTGGGGTTCGATTCCGGCCCATAGCAGATTATTTTTTTATTAGTTTTGTCTTTCAATTTTTGGCCCTGTTAGAGCTATTTTTTCGCCTTTTTTCTTGTTTATGCGAAGTTGCTGCTTCGCCTCTGTGTAATTATTGTTTCATTTTTCGTGTAGGCGAATGAGACGTGGACTGACAAAGATGACACTTGTAAGGAGTACTCATGTGCCAAGAATGGTACAGTTATAGAGATAACTCCTGACTATAACTGCAGTGACATCATCGAACAGTGTGTGGTGAGTTTACATTGAGATCTTAGAACTTTTCAGATTTTTCGGACCTTGAAGAGCGATAGTTAACTGGCTAGGGTTCTCGCCTCTCACTGGAAATGGCGGTGGTTTGAGGCCTCCTACCATGATCCGTGTTATTGCCTGCGAATGAGACGATAACTCTCAGCCCGAAAACTTTATCTAATGTAGGTTTTAATCTTTGGCACAACAACGGCTCTCCGCGAAAAGCTGAACAGTTTGTACGTTGGTTCTTTCTCTGATGGATAATTGGTCTGACTAGCTCCTCAATCAAAGAAATAACAGCTAAATTGCGGGCCGAGGTGTTGGCGACGATACCCTTCAATTATGGTTGCTAAATTTTTGAGAGGTTCCCATTTTGTATTATTTTGCGACATCCATTTCTGGCTGACCAACACTAAAAACTTTATGAATGGTATCTTTGGCGACAATATATACTCATTTTAAAGGTGGAGAGATGCTAACTTTTTGCCGAAATTGGTCGTTTAAGGGCATCGGCAGAGCTCAAAAAAAACCGAAATGGTTGACCTAAAAAGCTTGACAGAATTTAACTTGTATTTTAGGTTTTGGAGTTGCGAGTGTTTGTAGAACTAATTTTAAAACTGAGTCTGGATTATTTTAGGATAGCGGAGGAGAGTTGTCGGATGAGATAAACCCTGACACTTGTTGTCCCGGCTGCTACCACCCGCCGCCCTGTGACACAAAGAGGAAGAATACCACCCTCTCCGTCGACAATTGTGAGTAGCACTCATTAAAGATCGGTGGATAATCAACAACCCGCCACATTTTGAAGCTGAAATTGCATCAGCATTACGTTAATTACATCAGAATTACGTAAAAATTGCATAACAATAATGAAAATCTGTTGCTATGTTGGATAAAAAAAATGGTTGGAATGGTAAACCTATTTTCGGTTTGTTGGCCCTTCGGTTTGTTGGCCCTTCGGCTTGTTGGCCCTTCGGCTTGTTGGCCTACCACCTAAAAATCATCAGTATGGGCTGGAGGTTTGCTCTGAGACTGGAACATGTTGTAATTCGGCTTGTTGGCCTACCACGTAAAAATCATCAGTATGGGCTGGAGGTTTGCTCTGAGACTGGAACATGTTCTAACTGGAATATGTCCTAACCAAGCAATCTCCTAATGTCAGTTAGCCAAAATGCAAATAAAACTCAGTATGCAACTGGAAGAAACTCTATTATATGATCATTAGGACTTAAGACACTGGAATAGATCCGCAAGAGTGCAATCTCACATTCGTAGACTGTTTCAGATGGACAGAATTGTGTTACGAATGGTACTGTTACCATTGAGTACTGTTCGGGTGAATGTGGCGAGACTTCTAAGGTATTGGACGAGGCCAAATTGACCAATGAGGGAGTTATCGACTTCGTAACCGACTGCAGATGTTGCCAAGGAGTGTTCGACAATATTATTGTCGAATTCAGTTGTCCTGACGGCGACATCATTACTCGAGAACTCCCGATCGCAGTGCAGAGTTGCGGGTGTACGACTGGGTGTCCCGACAAGCAACCGGATCTTCCTCTGCCTTCGACCCTTTTGATGCCAACATTCCTTTAAAGAGGCAGAAAAAAAATACAAAAAAGTGAAATATAAGTTCTGCAAAAATTATGTAAATGGTATTGAAATTATTTAAATGTGACGGTTATCATGAAGATGTGATTCGAAAACCAAAAAAAAAGAAGAAATTCCAAATGAACCAGACATGAACTGAGAAATATGTATGAATTTCTAAAATTGTATCTGATTTATTGGTTGAAGTATTTGAATTTGGCTGAGGAAATAAAGCGGTGAAAGCATTTACTCTAATGATAATTTTCGGGCAATTAAATCAATTTCAAATAAATGTGTTTTTTTTATCAGATACTGAACAGTCAAATTTAAATTGAACAATAAGTAGCACAGAATGTCACACAATTTTTTTTCTCAAATTGTGTTTTCTGCGTGGATTGATAAAAGGATCTGAAAAAAAAACAACTTAGGCATATTCAACAGTCACAGTACTTAGAGAAACTGGACAACAGTTTTTGAAGAAAAATGACTAGAAAAATAAATACAATTCATTAATTTGTTTCTATTTTTTTCGCAGAATTTTTTTGAATTCTTGAAATTTTTAATGGCCAAAATAGCGTTGAAAACGTATATTAAAAAAGTTATACAAGACTGCTCGTATATCAGGGCAAAAGCCCTGAATATTCCTACTGCTCCCTAATCCACATTGATTAGTTCGTGGGAAAAATATTGAAAATCTATAAATTTTGGACAATAATAATGATCAAGTGAGAACATTTGAGTCGCACAAAATTAATGCCACCGATTAGCTAGCCTCAATTCTAATTTGAACGATTTTTGTTTTGGCATGATTTGTAACGCATAAACAGGTAGCGTTACGCTCTCAGCTTTATGATTAAATTATTCGACACGCACATAAATTAGTCCAGTACGTGGCCAAATTGACAAGTTTCAAACTCCCAGAACATTGCAAAATATCGGATGTTAAATTTTTTTTACATTTGAACTCGGGAAGTCGATATCTTCAATAACCTACAAAACTTTGTTTGTTAAAAACTGTTTTTTTTATTGCCAAAGTTTGACTGAATAAAAAATCACACCAAGCATAAATAATCCGTTTTCTTCGAAAGTGAACAATAAGCATGCTCGCTCGGAATTAGATAGAAAATCAAAAATTTCAAACCGGTTTTTCTTGGCACTGAGAATTTTTTTTGGAATTTGCTTGAATGTCTTTCGAATCACCACTAAAAGCGCTTGAATCTGATAATTCATTCGATTCATTCACATAATTATTTGTGGTACCTGATTGTGTGTGGAAAACAAAAAGAAAAATTTTTAAAAAACAAAAAAAACTAAAACACACCCGACACAAAATTCCTCTTCATGTCCAATTGTGGGAACAAGAAATTGCTATTGCTGTGCAAGTAGCACACAGAAAAAACTTAGAACATACATACTCTGAGTTCTATAGAGTGTTGCAAAAAATTGGAACAGACAGAATTAATTAAAAAGAGCAGATGAACAATTTTAGCAAAGTTTTGCATGCAAAAGCTAATTTTTCCGGCTAAAAACATGATTCAAAGCCACCTGTAAATTCATATACAGAAGAATAGCAAATTTGGCTCTCAAATTAAAAAAGAATGGCAATGGTGCAAACACTTCTAGTTTTCCAATCGGAAATTAAATATACCTATTGATTCAGTTTTCTCAAATTGATAAAGTTTTATCAAAAAAAGTTGGTCATAAATTGTTTCTGAAATTATTTAAGTTTTCAGGTCTTTTTTTTGAAATTTAAATTTTCTTCGCTATTTTCCTCGAACTGCTACTTTTTGCAATTTCAGAATTTTTAATTACTTTGACATTAACGAAAAATGCAATAATCAGTTTTTTTCCGATGTGACACTGACCAGGTTAAAAATGATGTGACACTGACCAGATTCTCGCATCTGTCAAACAAAGTTTGCTTATTTTGAAAAAGATGAAGTGGGAAATTGAAGTAAGACCGAGGACACAAAAACTATGTTTTATTTACACTTTTCTCTAGAATGTCAGAATGTAATTTTCCGATGACAAATTAAACACTGCGTATATTGACATTTGTTGAACTCTCTGTAGCTATGTGTTTTTTGAAACACATAAAGATAAAGATCCAGCAGAGAGTTCTAAAATTGTCAATAAACGCAGTACTTACTTTTTTATAGGATTATCACATTTTGACGTTCTAGAGAACTTTATCTGTCGCCGAATTAATTACATATATTTTGTGGCTTCGATTTTATTTGATTTTAATGCCATAACCTGTCCCATTTACGACGACCGATATGACCGCGACCTCATTTTCAGTTGCAAGTGGTACGTAATATGACTAAATGGTGAGGTGGAAGCTAAGGCGTCCGTTTTTTTGTATTTTAGAGCCGATTTTGAATCTCTTCATTTATTAGTTTTCATTAAATGTTAGATCAAAGGTTTTTAGTTTGTCTTATAAAGGGCGTGAAGTTTCGATAAGCAATGAATTCAAGCTGTTTTTGCGTTCGAGAAAGCATAGCTACCGAAAGGAGCAATTAATATCATGAAAGCTTTTGATTTGTTTTTGGAATTTTTAAAATGTCGGAAAATAGAAAATGTAGTTTGCAAAATTTGAAACAGACAAATATAATTAGAAAAACCAATCCGCTAATTGCCAACAAAAGTTGCATCCAAATTATAATATTGACTAAAAAAGTTGCATCTACATGCAAAAGTTTTGCAAAATAGATCAATTGTTATTATTTTTGTCTTTAATTATTATTGTCTTCCCGATCTTTTTGCTACTGATTATAACAATACAACAATGACCTTATGTAAACCATTCAATTTTTTTCTCTTTTCAGCACATGTTTCGCGGGTGAGCTCAGTTGCAACGTGACCACGTGCAATGACTATGATGGAGTCTGCAGAAAGGTCAGTTCACACCCGTCAGGTATCCATCATACTAGAACAAATGACCCAATCTTCAAGATCCACTAGCTATGTGGACCCAACCAACCAAGTTATTTTTTCTTCAATGAAATTGAGCTCAACAATCGTTCCGTTGTATTGATCCGACAGACCACTCTCCGAGTGATTGCTCAGAGACATTTTTCTCAATGAACCTCAATACAAGCTCGTAGGAAGCCAAGTAGTGTCAATAAAGTGCTTTTAGACGTGAAAGTTTCAACGAAAGCTCGTAATTCTCATAAGTGTCGAGATAAACTGGTATGAATATTCTCCTTTTTCTAATGTATTAATTAACTGAGGGGGACTAAAAGAGTTGGGAATTTAACTTAACCTGTTTTTTTTTGGTTAATACACGTTTTTCCCAACTGTAAATTTAGGAGAAATTGTCGAAAAGTATCCAAAAAAGATTAAAACATGCAAAATCAAAGCTCATGCAAAATCAAATACCAAAAAATGTCAGAGAAGATTGAATCAGATGCCACACGGAAGCCCTTGAAACCGTGATTTGTATAATATATAAAAATTTGCATAAAATTTTATATTAATTATGCAAAGAAATGGTTGAACATTTTTGCTTTTAGAGTAGTTTACAACGAAGGTCGCACTACTATTTTATTTACCTTTTCGATAAGTAAGGGCATTGCAATCGGGTATTAGACTTTTCTCCCGCAAAAAACTTGGTTCACAGAGGCAACGAGCCTGGAGACAACAAATACACCTGGCATGGCAAAAGTTGTAATTTTGAATCTGAAAGGACCTGTTTTTTTTTTAAACGAGAAGTATTTAATTTTCTAAAAATTGTCTGCTTATTATTTTTTGCTTTTGTGTTGTCGAGTTAGTTGCCCTATCGCAGAATATTTTTGCTCTAAACACTTTGCATTGTAGCTACTTTTAGTGTTTTGACTTATTTCTGCTGATTGAATTTTGCTATTTTTGACTTCGTAAATTTAACTCTTTTTTTTTCGCTTATAAACTTCATTCTGCTCAAATGATTTCGGCATGTATTTTATTGGCTGAGTGAAATAATTTTTTGTCGTTTCAAGGTAAAAATTATTTAAACGCTGCCCTCTGGATTGCACAAAATATTTAAATTTTCAATAAATTTTATAGTTCAAGTTTTTCATAACAACATTTTTCGGCTTTTTTTTTCGTTCTTTTTTCCGCTTACAGTTTTCGGCTTATATAATTCTGGCTTAATAATTTCATATTGCGTCTTTCAACGAGAGAAAATGAATTGTATGTTTGCGTGTGTTCTTGAGCGTGAGAGGGACTTTATTACTTGTAATTAGTCTTAGTTTTTTCTTGAATTTTTTTGGCTTTTTTCTTTATTTTTGGGCTATATAGGTTTCGGCCTATATTATATCGGCTTAGTAGCTTTATATTTTTTCTTTTGACAAGCGATATGAATTTTTGTGTCGTGTGTGTGCTTTGAGGGTGAGAGGGACTTAATAACTTTGTATAAGTCTTCAGTCTTGTTGATATTTTTCGTCCTGAAGGGTTTCTGCTAAGGTATTTTTGGCTTTTTGTTATCGCTTGGTAAGCTTTCATCCGCTGTTAATATCATATTCTATTGTGTTGGCATGTTTTTGTTTCAAAATTATTCTTATTATTTTTGATAGATCTAGTTTTTTTGGACATTTTTGATTTTTTCGGGCTTAGCGACTTGTTTTGTGGTGCGAAGCTCAGCGTTGCCTCTGTATTGGAATTTATTGTTTTAACAAAATTTATTGTTTTGTTATCCATTTGGAAAGCTGAATTAGTTCTTTTATTGGTCTCTTTTTCTCTCCTATTTGTGTCCACGAACAAAAAAAATTCTTGTGCTGCGAAGCTCTTTAAAAAAAAATTTGTTTGTGATTTTTTTTCGGCCTTTTTGTTTTTCTTTTCTTTATTTTTTGGCTGAATAGGTTTCGGCTTATATTATATTGGCTTAGTGGCCTTATATTGATTTACTTGACGAGCTAATTAAACTTTGGTATTGCGTGTGTGTTTTGAGGGTGAGAGGGACTTAGTAACTTTTTATAAGTCTTCAGCCATGTCGATATTTTTCGGCGTGAAGAGTTTCTCCTAGAGTATTTTGGCTTTGTTGCCGCGTGGTAAATTCTCGTCGGATGTTAATTTCACATTTTTACAGTCTTGAAGTTGAATGTCCTGCTCTTGTCCTGCGAACTTTTATGGAAAAAAAGTTTTTTTTTTTTTAATTTTCAACTTTTTTTGCTCAGATGGCTGAAATCGGAACATTCTGTTCCACTTGCACAATTAAAAGCTATTCTTGTTTCATTTCACATGCCCAGCGTAGTGTCATATTACGATATCCATTGGGGTTCGATTCCGGCCTATAGCAGATTATTTTTTTATTAGTTTTGTCTTTCAATTTTTGGCCCTGTTAGAGCTATTTTTTCGCCTTTTTTCTTGTTTATGCGAAGTTGCTGCTTCGCCTCTGTGTAATTATTGTTTCATTTTTCGTGTAGGCGAATGAGACGTGGACCGACAAAGATGACACTTGTAAGGAGTACTCATGTGCCGAGAATGGTACAGTTATAGAGATAACTCCTGACTATAACTGCAGTGACATCATCGAACAGTGTGTGGTGAGTTTACATTGAGATCTTAGAACTTTTCAGATTTTTCGGACCTTGAAGAGCGATAGTTAACTGGCTAGGGTTCTCGCCTCTCACTGGAAATGGCGGTGGTTTGAGGCCTCCTACCATGATCCGTGTTATTGCCTGCGAATGAGACGATAACTCTCAGCCCGAAAACTTTATCTAATGTAGGTTTTAATCTTTGGCACAACAACGGCTCTCCGCGAAAAGCTGAACAGTTTGTACGTTGGTTCTTTCTCTGATGGATAATTGGTCTGACTAGCTCCTCAATCAAAGAAATAACAGCTAAATTGCGGGCCGAGGTGTTGGCGACGATACCCTTCAATTATGGTTGCTAAATTTTTGAGAGGTTCCCATTTTGTATTATTTTGCGACATCCATTTCTGGCTGACCAACACTAAAAACTTTATGAATGGTATCTTTGGCGACAATATATACTCATTTTAAAGGTGGAGAGATGCTAACTTTTTGCCGAAATTGGTCGTTTAAGGGCATCGGCAGAGCTCAAAAAAATCCGAAATGGTTGACCTAAAAAGCTTGACAGAATTTAACTTGTATTTTAGGTTTTGGAGTTGCGAGTGTTTGTAGAACTAATTTTAAAACTGAGTCTGGATTATTTTAGGATAGCGGAGGAGAGTTGTCGGATGAGATAAACCCTGACACTTGTTGTCCCGGCTGCTACCACCCGCCGCCCTGTGACACAAAGAGGAAGAATACCACCCTCTCCGTCGACAATTGTGAGTAGCACTCATTAAAGATCGGTGGATAAACAACAACCCGCCACATTTTGAAGCTGAAATTGCATCAGCATTACGTTACTTACATCAGAATTACGTAAAAATTGCATAACAATAATGAAAATCTGTTGCTATGTTGGATAAAAAAAATGGTTGGAATGGTAAACCTATTTTCGGTTTGTTGGCCCTTCGGTTTGTTGGCCCTTCGGCTTGTTGGCCCTTCGGCTTGTTGGCCTACCACCTAAAAATCATCAGTATGGGCTGGAGGTTTGCTCTGAGACTGGAACATGTTCTAACTGGAATATGTCCTAACCAAGCAATCTCCTAATGTCAGTTAGCCAAAATGCAAATAAAACTCAGTATGCAACTGGAAGAAACTCTATTATATGATCATTAGGACTTAAGACACTGGAATAGATCCGCAAGAGTGCAATCTCACATTCGTAGACTGTTTCAGATGGACAGAATTGTGTTACGAATGGTACTGTTACCATTGAGTACTGTTCGGGTGAATGTGGCGAGACTTCTAAGGTATTGGACGAGGCCAAATTGACCAATGAGGGAGTTATCGACTTCGTAACCGACTGCAGATGTTGCCAAGGAGTGTTCGACAATATTATTGTCGAATTCAGTTGTCCTGACGGCGACATCATTACTCGAGAACTCCCGATCGCAGTGCAGAGTTGCGGGTGTACGACTGGGTGTCCCGACAAGCAACCGGATCTTCCTCTGCCTTCGACCCTTTTGATGCCAACATTCCTTTAAAGAGGCAGAAAAAAAATACAAAAAAGTGAAATATAAGTTCTGCAAAAATTATGTAAATGGTATTGAAATTATTTAAATGTGACGGTTATCATGAAGATGTGATTCGAAAACCAAAAAAAAAGAAGAAATTCCAAATGAACCAGACATGAACTGAGAAATATGTATGAATTTCTAAAATTGTATCTGATTTATTGGTTGAAGTATTTGAATTTGGCTGAGGAAATAAAGCGGTGAAAGCATTTACTCTAATGATAATTTTCGGGCAATTAAATCAATTTCAAATAAATGTGTTTTTTTTATCAGATACTGAACAGTCAAATTTAAATTGAACAATAAGTAGCACAGAATGTAACACAATTTTTTTTCTCAAATTGTGTTTTCTGCGTGGATTGATAAAAGGATCTGAAAAAAAAACAACTTAGGCATATTCAACAGTCACAGTACTTAGAGAAACTAGACAACAGTTTTTGAAGAAAAATGACTAGAAAAATAAATACAATTCATTAATGTTTCTATTTTTTTCGCAGAATTTTTTTGAATTCTTGAAATTTTTAATGGCCAAAATAGCGTTGAAAACGTATATTAAAAAAGGTATACAAGACTGCTCGTATATCAGGGCAAAAGCCCTGAATATTCCTACTGCTCCCTAATCCACATTGATTAGTTCGTGGGAAAAATATTGAAAATCTATAAATTTTGGACAATAATAATGATCAAGTGAGAACATTTGAGTCGCACAAAATTAATACCACCGATTAGCTAGCCTCAATTCTAATTTGAACGATTTTTGTTTTGGCATGATTTGTAACGCATAAACAGGTAGCGTTACGCTCTCAGCTTTATGATTAAATTATTCGAAACGCACATAAATTAGTCCAGTACGTGGCCAAATTGACAAGTTTCAAACTCCCAGAACATTGCAAAATATCGGATGTTAAATTTTTTTTTACATTTGAACTCGGGAAGTCGATATCTTCAATAACCTACAAAACTTTGTTTGTTAAAAACTGTTTTTTTTATTGCCAAAGTTTGACTGAATAAAAAATCACACCAAGCATAAATAATCCGTTTTCTTCGAAAGTGAACAATAAGCATGCTCGCTCGGAATTAGATAGAAAATCAAAAATTTCAAACCGGTTTTTCTTGGCACTGAGAATTTTTTTGGAATTTGCTTGAATGTCTTTCGAATCACCACTAAAAGCGCATGAATCTGATAATTCACTCGATTCATTCACATAATTATTTGTGGTACCTGATTGTGTGTGGAAAACAAAAAGAAAAATTTTTAAAAAACAAAAAAAACTAAAACACACACGACACAAAGTTCCTCTTCATGTCCAATTGTGGGAACAAGAAATTGCTATTGCTGTGCAAGTAGCACACAGAAAAAACTTAGAACATACATACTCTGAATTCTATAGAGTGTTGCAAAAAATTGGAACAGACAGAATTAATTAAAAAGAGCAGATGAACAATTTTAGCAAAGTTTTGCATGCAAAAGCTAATTTTTCCGGTTAAAAACATGATTCAAAGCCACCTGTAAATTCATATACAGAAGAATAGCAAATTTGGCTCTCAAATTAAAAAAGAATGGCAATGGTGCAAACACTTCTAGCTTCGAAAGTGGATTTTAATTTCTAGTTTTCCAATCGGAAATTAAATATACCTATTGATTCAGTTTTCTCAAATTGATCAAATTTTATCAAAAAAAGTTGGTCATAAATTGTTTCTGAAATTATTTAAGTTTTCAGGTCTTTTTTTTTTGAAATTTAAATTTTCTTCGCTATTTTCCTCGAACTGCTACTTTTTGCAATTTCAGAATTTTTAATTACTTTGACATTAACGAAAAATGCAATAATCAGTTTTTTTCCGATGTGACACTGACCAGGTTAAAAATGATGTGACACTGACCAGATTCTCGCATCTGTCAAACAAAGTTTGCTTATTTTGAAAAAGATGAAGTGGGAAATTGAAGTAAGACCGAGGACACAAAAAATATGTTTTATTTACACTTTTCTCTAGAAAGTCAGAATGTAATTTTCCGATGACAAATTAAACACTGCGTATATTGACATTTGTTGAACTCTCTGTAGCTATGTGTTTTTTGAAACACATAAAGATAAAGATCCAGCAGAGAGTTCTAAAATTGTCAATAAACGCAGTACTTACTTTTTTATAGGATTATCACATTTTGACGTTCTAGAGAACTTTATCTGTCGCCGAATTAATTACATATATTTTGTGGCTTCGATTTTATTTGATTTTAATGCCATAACCTGGTTAATGTCACATCATCTTTAAGCTGGTCAGTGTCACATCGGTAAAAAAATGTTTTGCGTTTCGTGGTTAATGAAAAATTTTTCGAATTTTCTTAAACTGCAAAGAAGGAGCAGTTTATGGAAATCCTTTATATTTTCTTCGAGACAAAATTCAGACTCACTAATTTTTTACTCACGCCAGCTAGCACGCAAAGTCTTTTTTTTTAAATCGTATTTTTTCTAACTAAACTCGGAAATAAAGTGCATTAGTTGTGGCACTGCTACTATATAGCGATGGTAATTTAATGTCATAGTGTGTTCTATCGCCGTTTTAAAGGCTGGTATTTTCACTCATTCAAGAAAACTTGGCGCAGATGCTAGACAAATCCGACAGATTGCAAGCGTTTTATTTTTCGATGCTTGTTTTACTCTTTTTCTTTTTTTAGAGCTACTTTTATCCCTTTTTTTGCTTCTGTTTGCAAATTGCAGCATCGCCTCTGTGTGGAATCAGAGTCTGTAAATCACACATAGTTGTCTGCAAATCACCCATAATTTTTAAAGATACTACATTGCGTTAATTTTTGAATTTAGAAATCGGTGTTAAACGACTGTTATTTCCAAAGACTAGCTCAATTGATTTTTTACCCTTGCAATAAGCAAGTGTATTGCAATCGGTTTCTTTACTTTTGTCTCGTAAATGTTTTTGCTCACAAGTTGGATGTCTGGACTCATCGCTAGTGGTACCTTGTTTCATTGTATAAACAAATTTTTTAGCATTCCCGGCTAAATTAGTCTGAGACGGTAAAAGTCCTGGGTTCGAATCTGACCAGGATCTGTGTTTTTTTTTCAAGCGGGCAGTTTAATGTTTCAAATGAAAATGTTGGTCAATTATTTGTCTGCTTACCTGTTGTCAGTTGAAGTGTCAAATCTTGGAATCAATTTTTTGCCCGCGAATTTTCAAAATTGTTTTTAGTGTTTGTTTTGTTCTTGCAGTTTGTATTCTCACTTACCTTGACTTCGCATTCCTTTCTTTTTGTTGCTTAGCTAGAAAGAAAGTTTTTTATTGACTTAATGACCTATTTTTGGGTCACTTGAAGGAAAATACAGTTTTAACTCTTCCCTCCGCACTTTTCAAATTAGCTGCATGCTTACGACTCGGTGTGTTAAAATATCATTTTTTTTCGTTTTGAAGAATTTTTTCGCTTTTTGCAAAAATTTTAGTTTTTCTCTGAATCTTCCGCTAAATTTCAAAAAATGCGTCTAAATTGAAAAACTGCTCACTCCCCTGTGTGCCTCCATACTCTCCTAAAGCCTTTCTTAACTAAACCCCTCTGTCTACAGCCTTCGTAAAAGTCTGTGAGGGAATCTTTGACCCATATTTTTGATCTTTTTTCAATTTGAACCCAATCAAAGACTCAGATTGCGAACTCCTTCTGCTTATGGGGCTATGACTTATTTTTTTATGCAAAAAGTTATGATTCTCCTGAATGCAAAATTTTTCATTTGTTTGGAACTTTTTTTGGACTTTTTTTGCTAACTCTCCTGACAAACATAATATGATAAATTTAATCGAAACAACAGGATGCTGAAAGATAACGTTTCAAAGTTGTTTATGCACAGTTTGCTTTAAAAATCTGATGGCGATCAAAAAAGTCAAAGTTTTGACAATTTTTTTTCGATTTTTTTTCACTTCACGCAAAAACTACCGTGACAGTTGTTAGGCTGTGTTCAATCAAGAAAACCAAACTTGGGAGTTTTCTCTGCTTAAGTGTACACAACCTGCTTTCTGCAGAAAAAAGTTGTGAATTTTTATTAGTCTTGTGATCGTTTTTTAGAATTTTTTAGTGTTTTATAGAAAACTTTTTGAACTTTCTTAAAGTTTACACAATCAAATTTCCGATTGATTAATAAATGATAGAACCGGTTGCGACATTTGGTCCTGAGTTTTAAAGAATTTTTTAGAGTTTTTTAGAAAATTTTTTGAACTTTCTTAAAGTTTACACAATCAAATTTCAGATTGAAAAATAAATTATAGAACCGGTTGCGACAATTGGTCCTGAGTTTTTAAGAGCTTTTTAGAGTTTTTTAGAAAACTTTTTGAACTTTGTTAAAGTTTACACAATCAAATTTCAGATTGAAAATTAAATGATAGAACCGGTTGCGACAATTGGTCCTGCAGAAGCGGCGACTCCTATATTTTTGGCAGAGAATTATTAACTCTTTGGGAAAATTGATTAACTCAAACTTTTTACTCCTGTTTGCACTTAATATAGTAGAGGAAAAAAATAAGGTGTTAGGTAAAGACCAATTTTTGAATTCATTTTCTTCGTGCAGCATCAGTATAGCCAGTTCATTCAAAATCAAACCTGTACCTCCAGCTTTATCTGGACACCATAATTATTTTTTTTCGAGAAATTTTTGGTTCACCGAGTTTTTTTTTCAGTATTAAAAAACTGACTTAAGCTTTTTTACGATTGTGTTGTATCGCAAGTGGTGCGAAGATCCACTTCGCTTGTGTAATATGAAGATTTGTAACTGTTACAAACCAACCATCGTTTTCTCTAATTTGCGGATAGAGTTAAAGAATTGCAACTGTTCCCTCCCCAGTTCTCAAATAATTGACTTATTTCCACTTTTAATCCAGGGTGTAATTACGAAACTTCCTTTGACCGATCAATGGCAGTATAACAAGATTTCGTGTGCATCAGTAGACCACATTTATACCGGTCCAAATACCGGTCCCCGGCCGAACAATTTTTCTAAAATTTCTTGTGATGCTTTAAAATGGGACACCCGTTTTTTTTAGTAGAAACAATAACCGGTTATTGCGCTAATTTTACGCTTTTTTTATACATCTATGATGAGATACATTTTAAACAAATGTCCATCTTTTGCTTTCCTGGGGGTGGGATGTGTAAGATTCTAGAGCAAAATTGAAAACTTTTTGCTTCTTTTAAGACATACCCAACTTTTTGGGCTTCGGAAAACCCTGAATGCTGACCAAATGTCTTAAAATTGTACCGATAAT